TCCCATACCTTCCCCAAAGCATTAACCACCACCCCATCCGGCCCTTGTAAGACAATCCCCACCGCCGAATGTGACTCCTGACGCACAGCCCCATCAAAGGAGCATACCCAAGCCACCCCCTGCGGCAGTCTATGAGGGCCCGGAGATACCCTCCGCCCTTGTTCTTGCACTCGAACCTCTGCCCCTCTCATCATTTGTAGCCATTCCCCTACCTGGACCAACCATTGGTTACGCAAGACCTCCCCAGTATATTGGCACCCATCAAACACCACCCAGTTACGAGACTTCCAAATTCGCCATAACAACGAAACCACCCTGATAATAACCTCCTCACTAGTCCCCGTTTCCAACAATCGCCGGACAAAAATCCCCATGTTGGCATCCGGCAAATCAGCCCGGACATCCATGAGACCTGACTCTACCCATAACCTGACAGCCACCGGGCAGTGAAAAAACAAGTGCTCCAAATCCTCACCCTCATGCCAACACACCGGGCACTGTTCCAACACCTCAATCTCGCGCACAGCAAAAGCCTCCATCGTCGGCAGAATCCTGTTCATGACCTGCCACATAAAGAACTTAAGCTTTGGCTGAACCCCAAGATTCCACACTTTCCGCCACAGAACCGGATCCATCCACGATGCCTCACACTTTCCCTTCCACTGCCTCCCAGTCATCCTCATCGCCAAATGGTACCCGGACTTCACCGTGTACTCCCCCGACCTATCCTCATGCCAGATCAGCTTGTCTCTCACATGCGATCGTGGGAGAGCAATCGCTTTAATCGCCCGGCCCACCGATGAGGGGAAGCAGTTAGCCAAGCAATCATCACACCACGTCCCTGGCTCTTCCCCCATCAGCCCAGCCACCGTAGCCCCCTCCCACAGAAACGCCGACGGCAACACCACCGGCGGGTAAGGGTGACACCCTGGTACCCAATTTGCTGTCATAATCTCCACCTCCTCCCCCGACCCTATCTGCCAACGCAGGCCAGCCTTCAACAACTGGACCCCATGCAGCACACTCTGCCACCCCCAGGACGGCCGCGACCGCGCCGTCGCCGCCAAAAGCGTTCCATTCGGAAAATATTTCCCTTTATAAATTCTAGCAAGCAACGAGCCTGGGTCCTGCATAATCCTCCACCCAACCTTAGCCAGCAGTGCTTGGTTAAACTGCTCAAACCGCCGGAACCCCAAGCCCCCGTCATCCTTACTACGACACAATTTTCTCCAAGACATCCAATGTATTCTATCAGTCGCACCACCCCACCAAAAGCGGGCCATATACTTATCAAGGCGCCGACAGAGCGTCACTGGGAGTTTAAAACATGCCATCACATAGACAGGCAAAGCCGCCGCCACTGACTTCAGCAGGGTCTCCTTCGCCGCCCAGGATAAATGTCGCTGCTTCCACCCTTGCAACTTTTGCAACAGTTTCTCCTCCAAGAATCGAAACGTTTCAGACTTTGACCGGGCAATTAACGTGGGCAGCCCCAGATACTTATCCTGGACCCCCATAGCACCAACCCCCAATCGTGCGGCCATTGCCTCACAATCCTCCTGGACGACATTACAACTAAAGCAAACAGCCGACTTATCCAGATTAACCCGCTGACCACTCAATCCCTCATAATCCGCCAAAACCTGAAGCAAATTCTCACATTGCTGCATCGAGGCTTGCACAAACATATATGAGTCATCCGCAAAGAATAGATTAGTCACCCTTGGTGCCCGCGGGCTAACCCGCACTCCCGTTAACCGCCTGTCCAGCACCGCTTGTTTAATCAAAGCAGTCAAACCCTCTGTACACAGAACAAACAGGAGAGGGGATAACGGGTCCCCTTGCCGCAGGCCCCGGGACGACCGAAAATACCCAGCCGGCATTCCATTCATCATCACGGAAAACGAAGTCGACGAAATACATTCCTGAATCCACCGCACCCACTGCTCCCCAAACCCCAGCTTCTTCAAGATCGAAAGTAAGAAGGGCCACTCGACCCTGTCATAGGCCTTTTCCATATCAACCTTTAGGGCCATGTACCCCTTCTTCCCTTTCTTCTTGATTTTAAGATAGTGCATGATTTCATGACCAATCAGAACATTATCAACAATTTGCCTCTCCTTGATAAAAGCATTTTGCTCAGGAGAAACCACTGCTGGTAACACCAACGCAAGGCGATTTGCCAAGATTTTCGAAATAATCTTATAAACCACCTGACATAGGCTAATCGGCCTCAACTGGCGCATCGTCTCAACCTCCTCCACTTTTGGAATCAACGTAATCCATGTATGGTTAAAACTCCGGAGCAGCTTCCCATTCACAAAAAAAGACCCCACAGCCTCCACCACCAAGGGCCCAACTATGTCCCAATATGACCGAAAAAACTTTGCCGTGAACCCATCAGATCCTGGCGCTTGAGTCGGCCCTATCGAGAAAACCGTACGCCGAATCTCATCCGCCGAAACAGGAGCAACCAACTTTTGATTCATATCGGACGTGACCAGCCTCTCAATAGGTAACGCTGATACCCTAGCCTCCATATCCCCAATCTGGGTTTCTGAAGTAAAAAGCGTATCAAAAAACTCTACTGCCATTTTGGCCTTATCGGGCTCTTCCTCAACCCATCCCCCATCCTCACCACGAAGTTTGGCGATAAAGTTCCTCCTCCGCCTAGTTCGCGTGACCGTATGGAAATACGAGGAATTTCTATCCCCTTCCTTTAGCCATCGCACCCGGGACTTTTGTTTCCAAAACATCTCTTCCGCGGCCCATTGCCGCCCCAACTCCCCTTCTAAATCCTTTAGCTTATCCCAGTCCACCGGATTAACATTTCTAATCGCCTCTATCTCTTCCTGCAAAGTACGAATATTTCTGGCTGAATTAGATGCGCCAGCGCGGGCCCAATCATACAGCATATGTCGGACCTTTTTGAGCTTAGTCCACAACCTATACATGGGCGACCCTGCCTCCTCCTGCGACCAAACGTAGTTTATCATCAGCCGCACCTCCGGGTTTTCCACCCATCGGGCGTCGAATCGAAATAATCGCCTCGCCGTTCTCTTAAACGGTTTATCTGCCACAACGAGCGCCCGATGATCGGATCCAATATCCGTACAATGAAGAACAATCGTGTCCGGGAAAGCCTCCATCCAGCCATCCGAGCCTAGCGCCCTATCCAACCTTTTTTGCACGCACGCGGCCCCCATCCTCTTGTTAGTCCATGTGAACAAAGGTCCCTGGAACCCAAGATCCCGCAACGCCAACCCATCAACAAAATCACGAAAATCCTGGGACTGGGCAGGGGCCCACGACACTCCTCCCTCCTTTTCATTAGACGATAAAATCGAATTGAAGTCCCCCATGACGACAAAAGGTTCCGAGATACCTTGACAATACACACGAAGGGCCTCCAACTGCCCTCTCCGCACAGCCTCAATACAACTAATGTAAACACAAACCACCACATACGGTCTTTCCATATTATTATTAATTCGAAGAGAAATAAAGAAAGAAGAACTAGACAAAACCGAAGCACCAATGCTCGGGGACCACCCTACCGCTAGGCCGCCAGACATATCAACGGCATCAACAAGAAAAAAAGAATCAACATCAAAACCTAACCCTCGCATACGACGAGTAACAACTCTACGACGAGATCTAGTCTCCGACAAGAAGACCAAATCCGGATTATTGACTCTAACAAGCCCTAACAGCGATTGGAACGTGAGGGACGGCCCAATCCCTCTCACGTTCCACGAGAGAAGCCTCATTTGATCGACTGGGGCCAATTCGGGCTGGCTACCTCCACCGCTTCCTTTGGCTCCTCGCCTGTCTTCTCCGCGCAAATCTTCTTCGTTGGTGTAGGATCCCGCGGGAGATCCTCCACCACATCCGCCGGTCGCTTTCGCACCTCTAGCTCCTCCTCCGCAACTGCCATCCTGAAAACCTCCGATAATTTGGGCAAATTAGACCCATACTCATCCGCCACCCCTGGGCCCACGTCACCCATCAATATCTCCTCATCTCCGGCCTGTTTCTTACCCCCCCTTGCAATCGGATCTCTAAGGGTTGGGTGGACCTTGTTACCTGCAGCCAGCCCATTAATCTGGGCCGCAAGCCCACCCTCAGCTGCTGGAAACCCCATTTGGGTCGGGTCCAGCTTGTTCTCAACCAGCCCTGGCCCTCTGTCTTTGAATCCCACTGTTTTTGTTTTTTTGTGTTTTTTTTTTCGTTTTTGTATTTCTGTGGAAGGCGTTGAATTGATTGATGTGACGACGAGACGTCGACGTAACGTTACGATGGAGCCTGCCCCGTTTTGTGGTACCCGAGCCAGACCTTGTTCCCTTATCTCTTCTCTTTTATTATTTATATTATTATATATTGTCAACCCTTCTTTTATTATGGGCTCGTACAATAATATTGATTAAACCTTTTCTTTTAAATAATATTCATCCACTTGCTCTGCTTGTCGGCTGTCGGCAGCAGCAGTTGTTTCTGTATCGCTGAGTTTGGGCTGGGCCAGGGTGTTTGTGGGTCTACGTCGGGTCTGTGGGCTTCCTTGGCTGGAGTGAAGCTTTTGGGCCTTCGTTTGCTTTCCTATCTTTAGACGGTTCCTTGCAACTTGCAAGCAAATTGGGCCGAGGTCGGTTACCTTCGGTTAGTTGGGTAACCGCGGTTAATTGCCTCCGGTTACTCGACTAACCTAACAACCCTTATCCCTTTCGACAAACCGATCGACGGTATGTCGGTTTTCGGGTAGTCGCTAACCGGCGTTTACCGGTTAAACCGGCCGGTTAGTCGCTAACCGGAAACCAACCAGCGACCCCTACAAGCAAAAGCTTGGGTTCCCCTTACAAAAAACTTGCATCCATACAATTATAGTTCCTTTCATTGCACATTCCAATTGTATATTGACGATCCATCCAATTCCATTTCCTGCAATCCAAACAAACCTGCAAGAGATCCACATACCACCATCCAACGATCCCGAAGATCACAGATGAAATACAAGAGAACAATCTGATAGCAGCCAACAAACGAGACCTGTAACAGATCCACATACCACCATCCAACGATCCAGAAATCGCGGATGAAATACGAGAAGACACTGATAGCAGCCAACGACGAATATATAAAAGCCAAGGAATGGCTAGAAAAGGGTACTGCATCACTAGAGAAGAAAAAAGAAAGAAAGAAGAAACTACCCCTACTGAACTTTTCGGCAACATCTACACAATCACACAGCACATAATAAGCTAATGCCTCCCTCTGCCTTCGAAGTCCTTCTGAGCCTCCTTTCTTTCTTCCGCTTGCATAGCTAAACTTCTTCTACCTCTGCCTCTTCATCATCTACCTCCCTATGCTTCTTATTCTCAAGGTAATAATGTACATCAAAGAACAAATTAAACCCCACAAACAGTATTAGCATCATCGTCATCATCAGAGAGAGATTACAAGACTTGCGCTGCTAACCGTTCGTCGTTGTCCTAACCCACACTAGCTACTCCTAAACAATATAATAATCAAACGAATACCAGTCAAAATCAGCATTGGTTTCTTCATTCTCAAGCCATCGAAGTGGTGGTCGTGGCTCCTGCTCCCTCCTCTTCGCCACTGCCATCACAAGTCTTCTTCCTTAACTCCAGGACCTTCCTGTGTGAGTTCGAGTGCACCGAAGGGATGAAGGTCGGACTAGCAGCTGGGCGGTACTCTGGGAACAGACGTCCAGACCTGTGACGAACCCCACAAGCATTGCAGAGTGTTTTGGGACCCAATGGGCCTTCTCTCCACTGTGGAGTCTCCGACACCCCACAATGGGAGCACCTCCTCGTTTCACCACCAGTACCCTGCTGCTGCTTTCTCTTTTTCTGAATACCATTCAGGAGGCCTGATGATGTCTTCTCATCTACACGGGGCACGGATTCCGGCTCGAGCTGGGCCAGCGGATGAAGCCTTTTTCTGCCTGAGGAGAATAAACGTTGGAAGAACTCGTAAGTGCAACGTTGGGAGCGCATGCCTTTGCTTCGAGGACGTTTAGCTGCAATGGGGATTGTAGAGTGATAATTTGTTGGGTTTTCGGCCGAGCAAGAGGAGCTGCTGCTCTCAAGGACAGAAACTGGGCTTGAGGTCCTGAAATGTTGTCGAGGATATTTCGCATCTGAAGAGGAATCAGACTGGATGCTGATGCTTCTGCTGGATGATGCCTTGTTACCACTTATTATTGAACATTGTTTGGACTCGGACGATTTCTTCTGCTGCAACACCAAATAAGCAGCAGGTTCAGGAAAAGAGCACTAGAAACCAGTTTTCTAGTTTGCAATTCACTGGCAAAAAGAATCAGAAGCAGAGATAACAATGATGTTTCAACATGACAAACACAGAGTGCGACCTGGAAGAGAAGGGAATATCTACTAGTAAGGGAGCAGTGAGCTAAACAGCTGCAGTACTAGCCTAAGATGGCAAAATGGAACTGGAACTCACCATAAGAATCCGTCGCACTTTTAGAATATCAATAGGAAAAGGGATGTAGAATCTGAAAACTATTAACAGACATCAATGACACAGTCATCGCGACGACTTAGTTAGTGGACATTTTCCAGGTCCTCTTAAACCCAACCAACCATCGTGAGTTCCTAACTGAATATATTAGTGACTACTGACTGTTTACTGAACATCATGTACCAAGTAAGCTTCTGTGTTCCAGTATTCTTACTAGTATCCCGCCCCTGATCACATTGTATGCTTCAAGATTGGACTAAGCCTTGTCCTGTCTAAACACTCACACTCAGTAGCATAGATTTGTCCTCAACTAATCAAGGCTATCACGAGAGGATACAATTTTACTAAGCATTGTTGAGCTACTGACAGAAAGATTATAGTCCAATACTCCATGTGGATTCAAAGCAAGTATGAACTATCTTAATATTACCAGGCATCAGGCTCAAGTTCTTAACTCAATATGCACCACAAGGTTTCTTTAAGAACTGGAAACAGTTGAATGTTGCACACATATCAGCCCCAAGAACCAATGGCGTTAAAGATATGTATAGTTGGTGAAATACACAGCCTACACACCACCATATTCATATCTTGGATGCCAGCCATTTTGCCATCCAACTTCAGAACCAGCCACCACTTCTCCACAGAAATTCCAACTGACAGACCCAGCTACCAAAACACTTCAGTACATGGAGCTTAAAACTTCACTGTAGTGAAAATCCTTACTAGTTACAAGGAGCAACATAATTCTCGGATGCCAGAATGATTCTTACTACCATGAGAAAATAATACTAGCTCCGGAGTAGCATATTTAGTTCCTCTCAGGGTTAGGCTTCCAGTGATTACTGCGTTATCAGTATGCCTTGGGAAAACAATCAGAAGACAATACTTTTCTCTAGCTTGGGTGGCACTCACATGTACACTGACGTCATAAGCCATATACTGCAACTCTGATTCTATCTATCATCTAAATTAGTAAAGACTAAAGACTATACTACAGCCACTAAACAGGTGATGAAAAGAGAGCAGCTATATTGTCTAAAAGTCCTCACCATATAGCAAGCCATGCAAATATGCAACAAAGCCAAATATAGAGCAGTGTGTGCACGCACAAAATAATTTGAGCGATATGAAGCCAGTGGGAAAGATAACAAGTAACTCGAAAGAACATGAAGCCATCAACTTTCAAACTTTTCCAATACTGCATTGTACTGCGAAACACCAATGAAGACTCAACAAAACCAAACCGGCCAATGCTAATGGAGAACTACACAATTCCAAGTGTAGGTCCAAAAACTTACCAAAATGGAGGCAGTGCCCTCTACTTTGACAGCGGCATTGCCACTTGCACAGCAGATATCAGACGGGAAGTTTGGCAAAAAGATGGAAGGAGGCTCAAGTTCTTGAAATTTAGTTTGCCAATCCTCTTCCACAGCGGCAGGATCAACATCCTCTGGAGGGAAATCAAAGTACTTCAACGTTTCATCGAAGAAATCATCCGTTACCCCGCTGAAATTTTTGTCGAAAAACCAAGAGTCGTTCATATTAAAAAAAACCTGCAACAATCGAACAAACACAGGAAGAAAAAAAACCCCGTCATTCACAATCCGAAACCCACCAATGACATTCACGAAAGGAAACGAATTGAGCAAAGAGGATATGCAATCGCCGAAAATCACACGCATACATACAGAGAGAAAGAACAGGAAGACAAGACAAACCCTCAAGTATTCGATATCCTTATCATCCGAACTCTCAATACTCCATGTATCCAACCTTATCCAAGAAAAACAAATATGCAGCCAAATTCTTCACAGAGCAATCACATTCTGTCATGGACACGTTTTGAAAAATATATATGGGAATCAGGGGCAAGAAAAACTGACCATGAAAAGACAGTCCTTTTAAGATTCTAAGACGATACGTTTTACCCTTAATTACCCCGCACGCACATTCCAATATTCACCAACACATTAATAGCAAATCCATTTTGACTCAAAATGTGCCACACGGGATTAGTGGGCTTTTATTTTCTTTCATATGATTATTCTCACCCCTTCCTCTTCTAATCTTCTTGCTCACCCGGGCCGCTTGTAGGGTTTCTATTGGCTGCAGTTATGTGGCACCCCCACTAATTACCCGCCACATCACTGATTAACCCTATTCGAAACACACATTCCCTATATATATATTTTTTTACCATTGAAAAGATATACACTCCTAATCACCCACAAACCAAAAATGGCAAGGAGAGTTTCTCTCCCAAGTCAGGAGGATCCACACCCACTAAATAAGAACGAAAAATTATGGAAAACACCAAGACTCATATACCAGACGGATGGGGAAAATAGTAGGTGCGTCCTTTTCAAACGGTGATCACCCTATCGTTTTCTTCGTGTCTGTGACATTTAATCAAACACCTAGAAGACAGCATCGCTAAGCAAACTACTTCCTTCTTCTTCCCCCCCCCCCCCCCCCCCCCTCTCTTTCAACGCATTTTCGTTACTAAAAGAATGCCTAATAAAACTGCAGCAGAAAACCGAAACTCTCTCTCTCTCTCTCTCTCTCGAATACGTTTTCCCCCAAAAAAAACAATTTCGAAAAATTTCCACTCGTTTTCCTCCATTTTCCTCGCCGAACCAACACAACACAGCCAAACGGCAGCGAAAACTCTCAAATTTCTCAGGGGCGGCCATGCAACTGAACGGATAACAAGCATAACAAAACGGGAAGAAAACAAAAAAACAAAATGCAACTACACAGCAGAAATCAGCGCGCGCGCGCGCGCAACAGAGAATATAGATAGATAGAGAGGTGAGAAGAGGAAAAGAACCTGGCTCGGCTGGCTAAACGGGAGAGAATGGGTGGAAACCCTAGGGGGAGCCTAGAGAAGGAAGGAAGCGAGGAGTGTCGGCATTTTCTGGTAGCTGGGAGGGAAGGAACGAGCGGGGAGTGTGGGGAAGCTTAGCGACGGAGGCCGGGCATTTCAATTTCCGGCGGCGGCGAGAGAGGAAGGTGAAAGCGGGTGAGAGAGGAGCCGAGGAGGAGGAGGAGAAGGAAGGGGATGAGATGAGGTGAGGTGGCGGTGGGGAGTGATGAAGAAATGTGAGCGAGAGAGAGAGAGAGATTCCGCACTTCCGCCTCCGCTTTGAATCTCGATGTCTGAGATAGAAGAGGGATTTTTTTTTTTAGGTTTTCTACTCGGAGGGCGCGTTACGCTGGGGGCGGGCTCAGGGAAATCCCGTGCATCCCGCGCTTATTATTTTCCCGGTGGCGTTTCTTTAAACAGAAAAGTGGTGTGGCAGAATTTGTTGTGTTGCCATTAGGGGTGTGCAACGGTTCGGTTCGGTCCAGACCGGATCAAACTCATGAGAACCGCGGTCCATTAGTGAAAGACATGTTAGTACCAAGGACTTGACCATTCTTGTATTTGGTCCATTTGGTCCGGTTCGGTCCGGTCCAAATATGAGCTCGGTCCACCATTTCTTCAGTAATTATAAAATTCATGAGGACCAAGGACCAGACCGCATTATACTCGGTATGGTCCGGTCCGGTTTTAACAACGGTTTGGTCCGGTATGGTCCGGTACGGACCAGACCATTGCACACCCCTAGTTGCCATATTACAATTTTTGATGAAATAGGCATTCATGAATTCAATCGCGAGCTATTATGTTGTTACCAAAAAAAAAATTTCATTTAAAAAAATATAAAAAATTTGTAAGTTTGTTAGGTCGATCTGTCTCGCAAAATGCCGACACATATTCCTGCGAAAAATTATGACGTGTTGTTTTGACGCGGTGCAACGTTGCAGACATACGAAACGCCACGCCTTTCTAACTTTGTTTTTGCAGAAATAGACATTTATTAGAGGGTGCGTAACATGTTTTTTATGCAATGCTCTTTTGCTTCGATGTTTCACCGATCATCGATTTGTATTAACGCTTGCACCAATTCCATACCGCGCGTGTCAGAAAGTTATTTTAGTGACCACGAAACGAGCGTATTACCCTTATCTATCGGAAGCGAAATGATTGTCGTAAACTAGTGACACTCTCGATCCTAACAGAGCTCTGAGTTGCAATCCTTTTTCCAACTCGACTCTTTGTTATTGGACAATCTACGATGTAGTGGATGGAAATTTTCGATCTTTTTAATTTGGCGATGCATGAGAATACTACAACATGCCGGAGGGAGGGATGGATGTGAATCGAAGGGCAGGAAGTGGCGAGTGCATAGGAAGAGGAGTGGAACGTGAAGCACTAGAACATAGAGAAGGGACAAAGCAGCAATAGGAACTAGGAAGGGTGGAAGTTGGGAAAAAGAGAGATATTTCGTAATTAATTATTTGTTTGTTCATATGATCTCGAGAGAGCACCGACGGTTGAGAGGGGCATGCCATCATATAATTTTTTTCTCTCCTTGGAGCCACCAAACAACAATACAACAAATTTTGTTGATAAATGATGGTACGAAAAATGTTGGAAGCATAAAGAAGAATGGAGGAGGAAAAAAGTTCCTCAAAGTCTTACCCAACATTTTGCTTTGAAGGTTGTTTTGTAATTTGTAGATACACCCGGCAAAGCCTATCATTCACGATGCATAGTTTTTTTCCCGGGTAGAAGGATAGAAGCAGCACGCGTCTACATAGTATCAACTAAACGTTTTTGGGAAATTTCTCATAACATTATAGGCAATTCAATGTCTTAAATCTGGATCGCTCACATCGAATAGATGTGTGCCAAAAGGATAAACATGGTCTTTACTAGCTAAGTGATCGGCTGCAAAATTACATTTCGTATATTTTATGAGACACGGAGACTTCCCAATCCAGCTTTAGGAGGTTGTCAATCTATTGAGCAAGGAGCCCGTGACTATGCTCCTTCACGATGCATCGTTGTTGTACTTGTTTGTCAAATATTTCTGTTCGGGGTAGAGCGTTTGTTGGTTCTTTTTTGATGGATTAATGCATTATTATAAGCATATTTTCATCGCTCTTAAAAGGTGCAATGATACTTGTTTTGTGTTTACGTTTGATGTCTCGAACTTTAACGAAAGCTTATCAGCTGATTCGTGATGCTTTTTTCGAAACCTCTAATTATATGTGTCGGTTAATAATAGAAATTACCACAACGGGCGTCCTGAACTTATGTTCTAATGCAATAATTTTCTCAAGATTTTGACTAGTTTTTTTTAGGAGATTTGGGAGGAAAGAAGGTGGTGTGTTGTAGTGTGTGTTTGGTGGGGGGAATTATTATTTTTGTAGGAGGAAGCAATCAATTATAATTATCATTATTATTATTATTATCAACAAAGGGAAAAGAAAAAACAATAAAGATATTGCGGGAAGGAAATTCAAAGGGAAGAGCCAAAGGTGCATGTGGGAATCACATGCGAACGTGAAGAATTAGATGAGATTTGAGATCCCATCCATGGCCATGCGATTGATTGACTGATTGATTTTCCTTCGTTCTTAGGGTTCCGTCGGTGACTACCAGATTTTAATTTCTTCCCCTTCGGATTGTACCCTAACAGATTTTAATTCAGCTGGGGAAAAGATCCCCAACAAGTACCCCTTTTTCTCTCAGCCCTCTTATTTGATCCCCATAAATTAGCGACTCTCCAAGTCAACAGTTCCTTATGCATGGTCGAACGATTGTAAAATCGTACCGGAAATGTTTTTATGTGCTGAAACCGTAGTCCAAACGTTTCATTCGGTTAAAAATCGCCTATCGAGTCATACTCAATTAGAAGATTTTTTTTCCTGTGACGGTTTCAAAAACACTACTGTATACACGATCTTTGTTACATGTCTCTTTGTCATAAACCAGCCGGTCTCAACAATTCGAGTCATCGCCCTTCAAACGAAAGCCAACTTATGGACCTTGAAATCTGCACAGACTCGTCACACCATGTGCTTGAACACTTGACCTCAAGGACAAAGTCAGCTCTGTTACTACAACATAAGCCAACCAGCCTCAATAACTCGTATTGTTGCGAGAGGTCGATGTATAGAGTATTTAATCACTTCCGTCGCTCTAATAAGTCGTTAGGAAGCCTTAATCTGATTTAAGTTTAATCTCCCCCTCCGATTTGGTAGCCTTCACATTCCCAAATAAAGGAAAAAACTAACGAATAAAGGGTTCGTTGGTCTAATTGTTACGTTACCACCACTGTCCCACTGCCACCGCCACTACTAATTTGTGGGCTCGAAAGATTTGAAATAATTAACCACCACTCACAATACAATGTACGATGTACCCAACATCACATGTTTTCGGTTCGTCTTAAAGCTTCAAGTTGGAGTTGGAGCAGGTGGGAAACTATGATCAAAGCTCCCTTCCCCACACGTATTTATACATGTCAACAAAACAAGAGAGTGATCCCATCCACAGTGAAGGTTTTAACTATTCAAGTCAGCTTGCCCATAGTTAGGAGGCGAAGTCGGAAGTTGAAATTAGGTGTGTTTTTGAAGGTTTGTGGTGGGAGAGGTGATCGGAAAGAAGGAACGAAGGAGGAAAGAGAAATCAATGATTAGCACTTTAGCGGATAGGTAACTAGGGAGAGTCGCGAAGCCAAATTGCGTCGTTGCTGCTGGCGCTGGGGAATAAGAGTAAGTGAGAAGAAGATATGTTGATTAGGGGTTTGATGTAAGTGGAGGTTTAGCTTATGGTACTATCAACAAAATTCTATGACGATAAAATCACAAGAAATGAACTGTAGTGCAGTGACAAATTGCTCTTGTGCAGACTCTAGAGGTGTAGAATTCATTTCATCCTCCTATATTTTACATTCATGGCAGATAATTATATTTGTACATAACTAGGATGTATCTTGTGCGACATGCAAATGCTCGGACTCTTGCTTATGAGTACGAGAATGCGTGTATTGTAAGAACACAGTGTTTCCACGTCGAAAGAATGGCGAGAACATATGACTCGTGCAGCTCGCCATCATGTTCAGTGGAAATACACGAATTCCCGAAAAACATGAATTTCGTACTCTAACACGAAGGTCGAAGTAGACATGATTGCCAAACCACCCATAATCATATTATCCAACCATGATCATTTTACAGATAATTTGCTGATGGGAAATCAACACAGTTAAACACATGAAATGTGAATTGAACCCATCTCCATAAACTTCACCTCATATTGTTGTGCCAAGCAACCAAGGGGTGGAAAAAAAAAAGAAAAAAGAGGTTAATCCTAATTTAGGTATGGCGACCGAATTCTTCTCTCTTTGAACCCTACAGTTTTGCTGTAACGTTTTGTTTTTACCTGTTCAGTTCTATATTTTGACTTTCGATATTTTCCTCCTGGCGTTGACATATACAAGCAGGAGGAACAAGGCCACAAACATACCCAGTGACAGTAATCTCAACGACATTACTCCTCCATCTGATGAATAGTTGCTGAAAATGCTGCCGAGCCTTCCCAGGCCTTCCTGCCATCGTTACACAACATATGATCAGTTTAAGGAAACCCGAAAGATAACCGGCCGAAAAAGGACTCAAAACAGTCAAAGATCTCAAGACTAACAAGTAACAACCCCATCAGCTAGTATGTTGGAAAGATGAAACAAATCTGATGTGTATGAGGCATATTATAATAAAGTTCCTTAGTGCAAGATGCAACAGGGGAAAGCCACGATCTGTCTGGTGACATGTGAGTGCCAGCAAAAGAACACACATGAAGCACATTCAGCAAATGGTTTGTTTAGTTTCTTTTTCTTTCTGTTTGGGGTTTGTTTGTTTGACAGCAAAATAGATACTTACAGTGGTGTCATATGGTTGAAAGAGACTTTTCTGGTGTTGGTTAGTGAATATGTTGCGAGCATATTCATAAAGCTCCACATCTAGCTGGTTCAGAGATCTGATCTCCTCGAGCACCATCTCAGGAACCTTCACTCGGTCCTGTGTTACAGAGTGTTGGAAGTTAGTTTATTCAACAAACATCTGGGGATATATGGATCTAATTGGTCACAATAATGGGATTAACGGGGAGGGAAAGAAGCGCACAATATAAATAGTTGAGAGACGAGAGAAGAGTATTTACCGTCTTGGAGAAGTTTGCAGGAGCAATCCTCCTCAGGGAGAGAGTTCGACGGCGCGAATGTGTTTTCCTTAAATTCTTTATACAGCCTTCATAAGACCCCATTAGTTTCTTCACCGTCATCTGAACATAGCAGGAAAAGCAAGGATTTAAGCTCTTTTTTTTATATCAGAAGTTTGTTCACAGTAACCACTTACATTTTCTCTATTGTCACTTAAATGATCTGTGGAATGAACTGTGGTGTTAGTCTGCCCCACTAGATGATCCTCGTGGTCAGCCTCGGGATTTGAGATCAAAGAGCTATGGCCTGGAAATGGTTGTGGATGATAGATTTTGTTCCGAAGCATCAAATTATTGACATAATGAACAAGGTCGAGAAGGCTTTAGGCATGCAAACCTGATTTCTGATTAGCCGGTTTCCACTTTGTGGTAGCATTTGATGATGATGATAATGTCTGGGATATCACCTGTGCTCCGACCACATTTGCAAACATTGTAGCAGATTCTTTGTGATCCTCTGTGAGACCAACATACAGCATATCATCAAGCCTCTTCTGCAAGGTTTATTTACAATTATCTATATCATTAACAAAACCACCATGCAGGGGAAACAAACAATCAGATACAAGCTACTACTGCGATAGCAGCATTTGTACATATCACAGAGAAGACATGTGCATGCATGTTTTACCTTTGCAACTTGAAGGACATAATCTCCCAGGACCTTGTATTTAGTACACAGTGACGCACTTCATGTGCTTCTGGAAAGTAGGAGTTGTTAGTTATTCCTGCCATCTGTGAGCAGCCAAAAGAGTATATCATACAACCTTGATACAGAATTCAGCTGCTAAGAGTATTTGACGTGCATTATCTTTCATGAAGTTTCAAGAGCCATTCACTGTTCATATATGAGAACAAAAAAGTTCCCACTACAGGAAGAAACAAATTGCACAGTGATGGAACTTTTCTAGGCATCACTTAAGTCGCTTTCACGCTCTCTCCCTCTCTCCTGTCCAATAAAGTCAAAGGTAGCCATTTAGAATTTGCTATGGCCTACAATTATCAGTGGAATTCAAGCAGTTTCAGAAAGATGCTCATATTATCAGTCGACTTCAGGAGCTCCAGTTATATCATTTTCAGGTTTCTCCAAGATAACATACATTGGCATCTCTCTCCGGCCCAATAATAAAGTCACTGTGCAGGCAATTAGAATTGTCGATGTCCTATCCTAATTTTCATTTGCATTCAAGCAAGTTCAGAAAGATGTCCAGGTTATCAGTTGACTTCAGGAGTTCCCAGTTATATTATTTCAGGTTTCTCCCCATGATTGCGTAACACCCTCCAAGTCAGCTTTATAGGTCTTCTATACCAATGGCCACAAAATCAGATAAAGCCATGATCTAAGCATGGTTGGGAAGTCAATAGTCAGGATCTGTATAAGTTGGTCCAAGCATGAAAAGAATCAACAAACGTTGACCGGCAGAGTAAAGAAGCAAAATATTAGCTCTTCAACTGAAGTTCAATTGCATTTATGACAGAAACTGATCACCTTAAAGATAATCTAGCTGTCAAGCTCTCTTAAATAAAACCCGACAGCATGAAGCCAACTGTTCCACAAAACTTGGGAAGATGCAAACCCAGTGAATATCTGCTTGAGATGATATCTTCTGTGTTTGTCGAGATTTACTGCAGCGGTAAGGTTATAGAACCCTAGTCATGAGAAATTCTATCACTTCAGCGACTCAAAATGAGACACCAATTCTTTCACCAATAAAATCCAGAACCAAACTCGACATAACTTGGGGGGCATATTCTTGATATTGCTCTGGGTCTACACTTCCTACTACAGCAGTTGCACACTGCTGCAACTACCGAGAAATCACTTAGCAAGAGCCTGGTCTTAACATTATATGGGGTGCAGTGCATGATCAAATGAGTACTAGAGAATTAAAGATCAAAATGCATTGAGATTAAACGAGGGAGATACCTGAAAAGTTGCTCCATTGTGAACAATATCACGAGCTATAGGGTCATTTATATATTGAAGTAATGGCATCACAATCTCCTGCATGCTATATGGGTTATTGCTCTCAATTCTATCTGAGCCTCTAAGCTTTCTTGCATCCCTCTGCACACGAAAATAAGAGTTTGCACAACTAAGAGCAAGGAATGAGATGACAGTCCTTGCAAAAAACACTGTATGATCAAGGAGAACATTGGACACAAAATTCTTGCAGTTTCTAGAACATTGCTCCCCTATATCACATTGTGAAATATTGAAAGAAGACCGGTACAGAGTGATACAAACATCAGAATATGCTTTTGGGGAGTAATGATTACTACTTTTAAAGTTCTGTCACTCTGTTCACTAAAATATAAGCAAGGAAACTTCAAACAATTTACATCCAGCAAGAAGATAAGTGGCAATCAGGTCTGAATGATGAAGCAGGAAACAGACCAGTTACCTACCCTAGAAAACAGGTCTTCTCTCATCCATGGAACCAAGTATTTCCAAGGCCATATATCCAATGTACTCATTCCGGGGGATTTAGACCGCAAGCGACCAGCCATTTGAGTTGCAGACGTTAAGTTAGGATGCACCAAAAACCGAGCAGCTACTTCAATTGAAAACTCATAAGCACTAAAGACCCGGTCAACAGGATTCCTGAGTATGGTCACCATTGAAGTTTTCTCCTTGGGAAGCTTAGAAATCATGCTATAGTCATCATGAGTAACCAATAGCCTGCACTTTTGTTTGCTGCACAAAATGAAAACCACTGCTTGGCTCAACTTTTAACCTAAAACTGCAACATTAAATTGCCAGTATGCAAAATTGAGGAAGAGATGGTACCTTGGGTCAAAGTGTAACTTATCATAAGAACGGGGACACTCATCTGAGCCAGAGTATAACTTTTTCAAGAAACTGAAAGGAGGGAAGAAAAAATCAGACACAATTAAGGATTACATAGACAGGCAAAAGCCTAATAATCTCAGGTAACTAAACAAATATTTCTGAAGAATTACCAGTGAAAGTAAGTGCGCCCTCCAGTTCTTGGGACATGAAGAAAAAACAACAAATCTCGAAGGGTATGTTTGTCTTCCTTAGCTTCTTGTTCAAGAGCTGAGGTGGTCCACTTCTTGACAACATTTTCACACTGGCCAAAACCATCTTCAACAGCGTAGCTGTTTACTAGCGGAAAACATATGTGGTATGCCAGAGAGAAGAAATGATTAGTTGTCAACTGAAACAATGGTTCACTTACAGACAATTAAATTCACCACACAACAGAACTACTTCCTAGCTGCATGCTTCCAAATCTAACCATGGGAAACCTATGTTCTATCCGCTAAAGAAATACGGAATAGGAATATTGATGAACCAAGATCCACAAAACAAGTCCCGCTAGACTTACCCAACGCGTAAGTAAGCACCAAAACCGGTACTAGTTTGAGGGCAAGAGCCATTCACCGAGATCCTACTCAAAGTCCTGCCATAGCAAACACCCAGCATTGTCATTATCTAATAAAAAAGAACTAACTGCGGGAAATCAGAAACAATCTAGCTTGTAGTTTGTCCTAACACTGATAGTCTGATACTAATATAGAGTTCAAATGAAATATGCGGCAACCCCATAGTGGCAGCAAAACACAGAATTCAATCCTAAGCTTCCAAAGTTCTGGGCCTGAAGAATCCTTGTCTACTACCTACTTCTACCAGACAACCAGCAGTAACTTTACCATCACGTCTCGAAGTGATCGGATTCATTTTCCTAAACAACCAAACAAGTAAATAACGAATTAGGGAGAAAGAAGCGCAAAACGAACCAAAACTCCACCGAGAAGAAAAAGATACAGACTGAAGCTTGCTCAGAGAAACCCTACGGCGGACCACAGAGGAGCTTAACTGAAGAGCAGGAGGCGAATTGGAATACCATCATCCCCACTATAAAAAAAGCAAAAGGGAAACCGCAAGAAAACAAACAAGCAAAAGAAACAGGGAATAGTGGAGTCCTCCCTAACCTGTATCGAGTTGAGCGATCTCGTGCTCATAAATTTTGCTCCAAGCCCGTGTTCTCCACAAGACAACACACTCTCTCTTCCTTCCCACCGAAAAATCAATTCGGGCAGCACACAGGCAGGCAGGCAGCTCTCGAGAACACAGATCGGCGGGATTTTTCTCGGCAACCAAACGGAAGATGAGCCAAGCGGGTGAAAGGTAATCGAATTGGAGTTCCGTTTTCCCTCCTTCTCCGGCGTGGTGTTTTTGGGGTTGCCCGGCCGGAGTGATCTGTGTCCGATCAACACAGATACGGAGTGAACTTGACAAACTGACTAACTCAGTCAATCATTTCTCTTCTCCATTTGGGAAATCGGGGCGACACGTTCAATATTAAGAATTAAATACTATCTTATTAAACCCCGCCCAAAGTCCAAACCTGATTCCCGAAAGGAGGAATTTTGGTGGCCGCCCCCAATCTAGGGAAGGTCAAAACGTAACATTTAAAAAATAAAAGTAATTTGTCGATGTGACTTGAATCGGATTATTAGTCGCTACGATGGGTAGTCGGGGGTCTCGTTGCCCGGTCAGCGAGTGGGGTCCAGGGACAACGCCCCAGAGAGGGTGCGGGGGCAACGACCCCGGCCCGCGGTGTATGGGCTCAATGTTATTTGGATTCGGGTTCGGGTTCTGGTCTGTAACCGTTTCCTTTGCTATATTGGATTAGGTTTAGACCCACATGGAGAAGTACTATAAATACTTCTCATATTCCTCTGTAATCTCCTCGATATAGTGAAACTGATACTCTCTCGCCCGTGGACTAGCTAACACACATTGTGTTAGTGAACCACGTAAATCGTGTGTCTGTGTTTTCGATTCTCGCTTTCGAATTCTTGCTGTATCGATTCCGATGATTTCCCGATCTGTGGCAACGCGTTTATAACATTGTGCTTACCAAGTGCTAGGTTAGTGAAAAAATGTTTACAACGCATCGTGCTCGTTGAATTGTGGGTGGACGATTTATAGTCGTCAAATACGTGACTTTGTAAGATAACTATTTGATCGAGCGCCAAGATGAGTTGTGAATCATTTAGAAAGACATCAGAAAAGTTCACAAATAATTTATGATTATTGGTCGAGTTTCGTCAGTTATGGCCTTATGGGGCGTCATTTTTCTGTTTGTGAGATCGTACGAAGACTTCACATTCTTTCAAGAAAGAGGAGCTAGAGAATGAGACGATCTTGGTATCAAGCACAAATGATACATATGATGATGAGAGGACCTATTTTATATACACAATCAATCACAAATAGAGAAAGTCCAGACAACATCAAATCTCAAATCGAGGGATTCAATTCAATGAAAGAATCAGTCACAACTCTTTCCTTTTGAATGAATTCAGGGTTCCTCCAGGAGTTCCACAAGTTGTTGCTCTTATGAGTTTGCTCCTGAATTGTTGGCCTGTGTGTGTCATTGTTTCAACGAAACAGCTCTCGACGCGTCCAGATGGTTCAACCTGCACGTCCCCAGCAGATACTCCGGCAGTTCCTCTTCCGTGTTAGCCTGTAAGATGATAACATTCAGCGAGAAAACGGAAAATGGAGCCACGTTCCTGTATGTTGTTTCCATGTTCAGTAGAATTGTGTGATACCTGAACAAGGAAAGCCATTTCGATGACCAAATTGCTAAGGTAGCCCAGTACGAGACTGACTACGCCTCTTGCGACTGTAGATGACCCTATGTCCACTCCAAGCTGTGCCATGTTTGGTGCATAAGCGAAAAAAAAGCGAAACTTGGAATGAGGTAAAGCTCTTTGTGATTGAAGTAAAGGAAGAAACGAGAGCAAAGGTTGTGATGAACACTTGTTTTTTTTTTTTACTGCTAGTGTAAGTTACCTCGAGGTAGTTCTTCCCCCGGAAATAGTTCATTTCCAGTGCTTGGCCAATTAGGCATGCTTTCTTTCCAACGCTTTGTTTCACTATCCAGGAACCCTGGCGAAATGGCAAATTTTTGCACAATGTATGAGTCAGAGGAACATGAAGAGTGAGCTTGTTAGTTATGGACTTCTACAAACCTTGGATATGTAAGGAATGAGTTTAAACCTCGAGTTCCTGAATGCATCATCCCCGTTTACAAAGCTCTGTAGCAATGGCGAATCTTCCAAAGGTGTGTTCATCATGAAGTACAAAGCAAGACTGTATGTTGTAGAACCTGGCACCTGTTACATGGTAAAAAACTCAATAAGATCCAACTAAGAGTGACAATAGAGCAGATTCAGCTATCTTCTGAACTACACATTTCGGGTGGCTTGACTTACTTGTATGTTTATAATCAAGAAGAACTCTGGCCCACCTTGGGCCGCATATTTCTGCAAAACATGACGAGTTAATAATACATGCAGGCACAGATAGCAGCTGAAAAGAATGCAAAGCGATTCAAGGATGGTTGGAGAGAATGGAAAACCTGAACAATACTTCCAGGACGGCCTGCTAAATCATCTTCCCGCTTGTCAGATTTTAGCCAATCTGCAGCAACCATCTCCATCAAAGTGCCCCTTGCCTTGATCTGGAAAATTAGCATAGAAGATTAACCAACAACTATATATGAAACCTTAAGATGTCAACACAATGGACATCGATCTAGTCTAGTGGATTTCTACAGAAGCATAGTAATCTGTAAAGCATTCCTGCAGACAATACATCCAGATGAATTCAGGTGAAAATAATGCACATGAATGTTCAACAAACGCAGAGCTAATTAAGCTGCAGCAAATGAATGAGTAGAATATCGATGAAGAGAAGTCAGCAGACAGTCAAAGAAATAGTAAGTTCTCATCAAAATGAGTCAATCAAGGAATAGACTAAAATTTTCCATCGGTTTCCTAACAGGTAAAATTTTCACTAAAACATGGGATCTACCTTCTTCTGGTCTTGAAGATAATTTTTTCCCCGAATCAAAAAGGTTGAAGGATCAGTCATTGCCCAGCTGGAGAGCATTGTATATGTTTCATCTTTAGGAAGAGTGGTCCCATAGCCGCAGGATAGATTGTCTTCTCTAACCAAGTCTTGTAAGTCCACATATCCCCTCTTTTGAACTAAAGCACAAGCAATGGCATGGTTAATTTGGCAAAATGAGAAAATCCACTGGACGGTTGCAAGAACAGGTGCAATGCTGCTGCCATTTTGGAAAAAGATGCACTTTTAATCTCAATTTTAAATCTATTCGGGAAGCAATTTGGATTAAGATAGTTAAGGCATTAGGTAATGCTATTGAACAAAACCACACGCACCTGCAAGATCATGCAACTTCTTCACGAAACCAGCTGCGGTAGATAGCTTAGGTTGACGCATATCCTGCAATTATGTGAGCCAATCTAAGTAAAAGACAAATAAAGTAATCTTCCATTGAGCAGAGAAACGAATCACCAAGTAAGAAAAAGGAAAGAAGTCTTTCTGGAGGTTTGACAGTCAGCCGAAGTATACATCCATGTTAAATGGTAAAAACTAGATGAAGCGGACTGTACAGACGATTTAAATTAAAAATATGACTAATGCAACTATTGCATAAATATTAAAGCATGGATATATGCAGACATAGAATCAAAAAACAGAACAAACCAGTAGCAAAGGTGATCAAGGTTATCAGCCAAAATACAAGTCTTTTATCAGATTTATACAAAACTAAGATGTCTCTGGAACGCTTATCACTACTTAAAAACCTATCATATAAACTAAAGTCATCCAAATTTCTAGGGCTTAACTAGATGTATCAAGCAGATTCCTCATCTAACCATTCACATGCATGGTTTGCATGAACGAGGCAAGGTTCTAATGCTTTAAAATGGTAACCTGAGAGTGCCCTTCTGAACCAAAATCGTAACTCCAGCATTCACTATCAGAAGGTTCTGGAACATCAAAAAACTCATCTGCAGCAGCATCATTAAGGCCTCCTAAGCTTGCACGCCCCGAAGGAGCGTTATCTGCTTCTTCGGCCATACACTTGCTTGCCTTGACATCATCATTGGTTATCATTTCAGCATCATCAGTACCCACATCCACGACAGTCACGTTCAATCCACTACCTGCCAACTCTCCTGATGAAAACTCTGGGCCACAGGGTCCTAGTTTTGCCTTGAACAGCTCCCTTAGTGCTGCAGGTACAACATAGATTATTTGAACGAATTAGTTAAGGAGAGCCATAAAAGTAGGTATAGCATAGGTCTTTGTGTATGAAAACAACAGAATTCGAAGGCAGCATGAATATCTATGCAAACTTTAACAGTACCAGCAATTCTCCCTAGCATTCTGATTGTAATAGATCTGGCAGCAGAGGTTTTTATGTATGATCTCCAAAATTACCAGTCAATTGCAAGCATGTGCTTCACCACAGATCGTTTTCCTTGGTTCAGGGGAGAAATGACATATCCACCACCTACAAAAGCATCCAATTGTTAGAACAGAAGAACGGGACACACTCAGCAGCAAATCGATAATCAATCATATCAAGCGCCAAGGTTTTGAGGTCATAGCACCAATGATTGATAATACACAAATGTCTCTGATATCGTCAAGATTACCCAGCTTGCATCAGACAGTACACTAGAGAGATAAAATAATGCATGATCCCGTCTAACAAAGTAAATGAAGCTTCAACATACTTGAAAGTATAAAGAAATTGAGTTAACATCTCAAAATTAAGCATACATTACTTTTAAGGCAAGCACGGACATAGCCTTTCTGCAGGGGACACTTCTTGTGAAATACAGAGTGGTAGAGAATAATTGCACCACAATTAAGTAGAGGACAATAAATGTTTCATCCGAAGAACTCTGGGAAATGTGACTTGCATACAAGTTTAATCTTCAAGTAGATCCTACCATACGTTCCATCATCCTCCCTCCTCCAGTACCTCCGCAGCAGAAGATCTCTTCGTTTCATTCCCCTGAAATGGATGATATAGCAAGCATAAGAGTTCAGACCTTGAGATGATTGAATCAATATAAAGTTGTGAATATTATAAAGTCGATCCGAACCAAGGTAGTCAGTCACGGTACAACTGCTTGTGAATAATATCAGTATGGCCATCAAGGTGCTCAACCAGACTTCCTTTGTGGAAACAGAAGTCCCATCTGCAAGGAAAAAAGTAAATTTCAAACCTTTCTGGAAACAGGTTTTCCTTTTCAATATCATTTGAAAGTTAAAAGGTCTCCAATCCAAGGTTCCAAGAGTTTACATTTCTGTTTTACTTTATCACCACATTCAAACTTAATACAAAGGTTCTAATTTAAAGCTTCATTCCAATAACTTACTCTGATCTCGTGGGACCAAGAGACATGAGAGTTTGGAAAATGGACTCCGATGATCCATCAACCACACCCACGGCCATTATTGCAGGATGGTCATCCCACTGAAAAGAAACAACCGCATTAGCCATGCACTAACAATTACAGCCGACATATTCTGGAAGCTTCACATACCTTACCATGAGAATCTCTGTCTTTTGTTTCTTTAAAGAGACGTAAACCTATAAGACCATGGTTTATTAGAAACCATATTTGAAGAATATCAGGACAACAAAAGAAAAGCTCAATTACTTACCATTTTGACATCCAAAAATTGTCCAAGATGAAGGTGCAATCACATCATTTACTGGATCAGTATGTGTGGCTGAAGTGGAACAAAGAGTCCAATCTATCGATCTAAAATGTCGTACTCGTCCAGAATCAGTCAATCTGAAAGCATGAAACTTAATAGTTAACACTTAGAGGAATGAATTGGTTTCCATTAACCTATAGATTGGAATCATGTATTACTCCACTTAAGAATTGTTTGATAAACTCAAAAATCTATTTCCAGCTGGAGTATTTTTACCAAATTTTGAGGTATACGATAACAGGCTCTGAGGAAAAAAGAGAAGTTTGCTTGCTAGATGCTAAAAGTATGGCACCTATCAAAAAATACTACAGGTGAACTGTATCATCTTACCTGAAGGACTGCCAGGTGTTCCTTGAACAACCTACAACGTTATTACTACCCTGCATGTTACATAATAATTAGTCATCATTGTTGAACAGAGCCAGTATTTTTACAGAAGTTTGCAATCAGAACCTTCACAGCAGCTCCTTGAAATGAGTGAATCCATTTTGCTGCTTCCTCAGGACTGCTGGCTCCCAACTGCCACATACAGATTCTGTAATTTATAAATCGTCATCTTAAAACCCAAAAACATTATGTATTTTATGGTCAGCTCACCTTAAGTTGATCGCTGTGATTTGAACTGTTAAAAAGTGTAAAAATGAAGAGTACCTGCAAGTTGACAAAGATGCCTTAAAAGAGTATGCATTGATATAATTCTGAACCGCCCTTTCTTTCATCCACGCACACACTATCAAAGAAGGGCAAAACTAGTTGATGTTTCCATACTTTTCTATTAACATTCTCTCTTCCATTGTCTGTCACTCGAATACAGGAATCTATAACCGCGCTTCTTAGAGGATCCTGAAAAAACCGAGTGAGAGATAAATCAGAAAACAAATAAAAATCAAACTGACAGTTTGAGAAAGATAAAGGCAGACACACTCATCCAAATCCAAGAACACATAACTCAATCTGGTCATGAACACATCAGAAACCAACACCTTTCACTTGCATTACTTGAACTCTATGAAGCAAGTGGATACAAAATACTTTCCAAAACCCAGATAGTTCCCCATATCCAGTCCACCCAAACTCAGATTCTACAAATTCAGCAAAGTTCTCCTTGAACAGTAAGCAGAGAATATGACTCCTCCCACCTTGAATAGAAACTGTATCCTCAACTGTAACACTTGGTTCTTCTGCCAACACACAAAAGGCAAACCAAGCCAACACCACAAGTTTTCTGCCAATTAAAGGAACAGTTCCACCCTGCCCCATCTCCTTCCACATGAACAAAAAGGGACTCCCGGACAAGAAATCCTAAGAGCTTACTTATCATACACCAAAAGGCTTAAATTGGCAGAACCAAAAAAATAAAGAAGAACAGTTTAAGCACCATCCTGGAGCCTAAATGTTAGAATCCAGTAACAAGCTCCGTATCCTTGCTAATGGCGATTCTCTCCATGGACACAAACAATCAAAACACGAATGCATTTCCAGATTGAGTTAGCTTAGACCAAGCAAAAATGTCGTAAGCGAAAAAGAATTCCAGGAACCAGCAGCGATAGACCAGTAGATGAACAAGAAAGCGACGCAGCATTAGCTTCTAAAATTCCAAATTAATCACAGAGACCGGGAAAAGGAAGAAAACGAGTGATGAAGAGACGAGACCTGGTCAGTAGAATCAGGGACGGACTTGAAGCTCTTGAGATGGTGATCTTGAAGGAGTACTGCAATCCAATTCGATTGGACCGCACGACGTACAACCAACCTTCCATTGCCTCTTCCTTCTCTTGCTCCACCGGCACCACCTCCATCTCTCTCTCTCTCTTGTTCGTCGTTTAACACAAGCGTACAAGATCCGATGAAGGTTTACTCACGGAATGGCACTATTCTCTCTCAACTGTCGCCGTATCAGTCCTTTTACCGTTAACTATATATCGCACATTCGCCGGCTGCGATCTTCGGTACACCTCCTACGTTGGCGGCGAAGGATCAGAGTAGGCGGAATTCGATGGCGGAAATAGGAACAGAAATCGGAACCAAAAGGAACTGCCTGCCTGCATTGGCTGTGTGGCCTCTTCTGGCTGGTGGTGGTAACTGGTAAGGAAAAAATTGAACTTCCTCTTTCATCATTTTTTATTTTGTTTTCTGGTTTCCGCTTTTAATTACTTTCATATTTTATTATTTTTCTTTCTTTGGGGATTGCAATTTTCTTTCGGGTAGTATTTGACTCTGTTAGTCTGTTGTCACTACTCACTAGTCACTAGTGCGCCTGTATAACTAGACAGTGTATTTTTCGGTATGAGATCATAGTTCAACTATTTTATTTTCCTATATGTTTGTATCAAATACTATTCTGCAATCTTTAAATATTGGTTACAAATATGTACATTTCGTGCATACGAGCGTGTAACTTTTTAGCTATTTGATTCGAGGTAACTGAAATATTTGAATGCAACACAAAACCGTGTTAATAATTTTTTTTTTTATGTGTTATGACATTAGAAGAATACAGACTTGAGGTATAGGTAGCGTAATCGATAACAACTGGCACGAAACTACCATTGTCACCCATGCTGCCTATATTTTCCCTACCATATGCCGATATGCGTACAAGTGAAGGAAAACAAAAGTGTTTAGTGATAATGATTAATCATCAACTTCAACGCCTAAACCTGTTTTTATGCTTTTGTCACAAGCAAACAGCCAAATTCGGCAACACCAAACATTCTGAAAAGCCTACGGGAAAGACTGCTCATTCCCAAATATGCTTGTCCCTGTTTCCCGCTTCCCCCCACCAGGCCAGGAGGCAGGAGGTCTCTGTTTTTTTTTACAGATCTTTATTCAAATTGTTAATGATGATTAACATAAGAAATTGAAATGGTTTGAACTCCAACAGCCAGTCTCCTAACTCCTAAGCCTGACTGGTAATCTCGTGGGCCTTCGTTTCAATATAGCAAGAAACTGAAGATTTTCTGCCATGAGGCCAGGCCCATAACTCCGCACGAGGGCCGGATAAATCAAAAGGGGAATAGAAACCAAACTCTCCAGTTTGGGCTTTGGATGGATGGGAAACTCGAAAGCACAATCGAAAGTGTCAAGAATTCAAAATTCTACCAAATTTCACCCTCAAATTCATTCACCCATTTGACTCCTTCAATTCCGAGTCGATGTGTACCGACCGCTTGATGTGAAGTTAATCGTAATGATGTACAAATTCAAAAAGTACCAAATTTAGAGATAAAAGAAACTATTCTGCAGGAAGAAATTCTAAGGCAATCACAAAACAAAGATATATTATCCTATAAGCGAACAATAATTTCTATCAGAAGAATCTATAATAAACCCTACATGAAGCAACTCTTTTGTGAGATCATACCCTTTCTTTACCATCACTTTCACATACTGCATGGGTTGAAAGTGATCTATGGATAAGGAACAGTTCTAACACCGGTGACATGCCTTTTTCTTTTACAATGGTGAGGGACCTTAGAGCCCGACGAAGTTCAATAAGAGAGTGGCGTGGTCAATACTTATTTGTAGCAATATAATGAGGGACATTTGTGGTTGAGAGCGCAACTATCCTTTGGCTGTCTTGTGATAATTTGCCAGCTCAACCCTATTAATACGATTTAGCTATGAGTTCAACGTTCACATAGTAATGCATAATAAAATTTGTCATTTTTCTTTCCTTTATAAACTCTACTCTCATTATTCTCAATGTTCCTCTAGATTAATAACACAAAAGGTTACTTATGTTTGGGATCACTAACAAAATAGTCACTTACTATTTGACTTTTAACGAATTGATAATTTAAATTTTAAAGCGAATCGACCTCCCTGTTTTTTTCTCGCTACGTGTAATGTTACAGAGAGTCGGCCTCTCTGATCATAGCCATGTCACAACGGAAGAAAGTCTTTCCGAATTTGATGCACAATTGCTCTCATGTTGAGCTTCCTCCCCAAGTTGAAAGTTCCAAGAAATGCGGGGTTCCCATTTTCTCCCACAATTGCCATATAATCGAGCCTCATAAGCTAATATCGCTTGCTCAAAATCTACAGAGAGAATATGAACGTTTACCTCGGAATTGAGAAATGACATTTGATGTCTAAAAAGTTAAGCGTATTGTTGAAATACTAATTCTTCCCAATGCCACCCATTTCTGTTGGGATGCCTTTATTAGTAATGTGAAACACGTGGATTGTTAAGTAATGGATGTACCCACTACGACAAGTGTGAAAATTTCCATGGAACCGGACAAGTCCACTGCCATCCGATGCCGCCATCGATGTGTTGCCGGGGAGCTAGAGTCTAGAGACTAAAACCAGTGCATGGGTAAGAAAGATTGAATGGTGGGACTAAATGGTGGTGAGAATATTTATACCATTTGTTCACTGCAAATGCGTGACTTATAGCTGTGATTTAGAAGAAGGTGGCGGCTTCACCACATACATGTGTTTGGTTTGCATTAGGATTTGGCTTTGGGCCTCCTTTTTGGGTGCCAAAGAGGCTGTTGAGGTTACACCAAATAATAAAGGATCTTAGTGTTGGTCATGGGATTTTTGTGAACCTCTTCCCATTTTATGATTGCTTTTGCTTCATGGGATTCTCTCTTATGTGGTTGAGATCCAACTGGAAATTGTGAAACACATGATTTTGAGGAATTGATATACTTTGTGAATGAGTTTTGTGAATTGTGATACTATGGTTTGAGAATATTGCTAAGTTTGATGGGACTATAACGGTATTTATATATTAAATATATTCATTTTAATGGGAGATTAGACCTGCTCGAGTTCTTTTGTGAAAAAAGCTTGTAAAATAGAGAAAATGACATTTTGTAAAATATGATACATTTCATAAATCACCACACAAAGTTGCAAAGAACTGCTTATTCATCATTTTATAATGACTTACAAAATATCTAGTAATGTGTGTTCCTAATGAGGCGACACAAATCAGGTGCTAAAAGGCATCTACGTCCTAAAGTCTCTCCGAACCAATTAGTGAACTTAACCTTGATCCAATGGTTCAAAACAAATTTCATATATAACAAAGAATCGCTTAATCGTCATTTTAGAATGACTTCCAAACAATCTCGTGATGTATGTTCCTAATGAGGTGATAATAGAAATCACGTGCCAAAAGACACCTACATAAAGTCTCTTTGAACCATTTGACGAACTTACTCTTGATCCAATGGTTCAAAAGAAGTGTTGATATGCTTGAGTTATAAACAATTAAACGAGAAATTCCAACACACACTTTACATATGATCTCGATCGATAAATGATGGATGCATTGTTCAAGAATTCGCGAAAACGGTTAAACCAATCAAGTTCTACATCACTTCCACTCCAATATTCCTTGGCTGGAGAGATGCATTGAATAAAAATTAGGTTTATTTGAAAGAATCAAAAATCACTTTTACATCCCACAAAAACCATACCTCATCACCTTAGGGCTAGGGCACATCACAAAAACAAAGAAAGCCAATGAAAGAAAAAGAAACGTTTCTAAAATTTACTTCTACACAACAGAGTCCTTAGCCAATTTCTTCCCTTCAACATTCTCCTTCTCTTGGACTCCCATGATCAACGGTGTCCTCACATCCTCCTTCTCCTTCACCTTGCCAAGAAAATTTTAAAAAAACAAATTACACATCAGTACCTCAACTTTCCAAACTTTTTCCACAAGACCAATCATTTCCTTACCAAGTCATCCGACTGCTTCTTTTTGCTCTCTTGGGTGCAGAAATAAGAGTACAACACCATCCCGCCCATGGCCACGAGGATCCCAACGACGTTCCTGATCGAGAAAGGGTCGTGCAACAGAGTATACCCCAGAAGCAGGACGAGGCACGTCTTCAAGTGCCCTAGAACCTGGTACGTTACAGGGGACGTTTTCCCTAGCACCATGAATGTGCTGAAGTTCACTGCCACTGCTATCACGCATGACAGCAGTATGAACGTCTGCAGAAAACCACAAACATGTTACATATTTCAATTTCTTTTGGGAAAATGGAAGGTGGGTGAAAAGGGGGATAGGTTACTGTATGGCGAGTTATTTTTTTTACCATGACTAAGGGGTTGTATTTGTATGCAAACACATTCTTCTTGGTGAGGAACTGGTCGACTAGAGGGCCTGAGATGAAGAGAACCGCGGCTTGGAATGGAGCTGATTGATAGAGGAGCTGGGTTGAAGACACATTCAACCTCTTCTGGATTGTGTTTGTCAGCTGAAAAAAGTGTAGAAATTATGTCCAATCAGTTAATAATATTCGTACTAGAATGAAATAAGGTTCATCACGTATAACGAATGACTGAGATCACATGAGAGACACGATCCAACGATGATGACAGTTTGGTTTGACGTATATAGCCGAAATGTGTGAAAAGGCGGGAAAAGGGATCGTACAATTTGGCCAACACAGGTTGTTAAGATGGCAAGGAGGGACAGAATGGTGCCAAGGCAATTGAGCTGCATATCTGTCACAGAGGCAATCCCAACTCCAACCAGCAATAGGAAGAGAGCAAACTTGATCTTTTGGCTGCAAAATGAGAATACGATTTTCTATTCATACCGCACGTTTTTCGGGTATCAGAATATCGAATTTCCATTCAAATAACTCGGGTTGTCGAAATACCTGAAGTGTTTGTTGAGGAAGAGTGTTTCCAGTAAGACAGTGAAGGGGATGATTGCAAGTTTTGTCATCTGCAATATTTGTGACATTACATGTGTCAGAAATCATGATCCAATGTGAACAAATGTTGCAAACACACAAAAAAGGATGATTGATCATGATGAGTCGTTTCCTAACCTGGTAGAAGCCAATGGAGTTGAAACCCAAGCTGAGGTTCAGGAACCCAATGGAGATACCATTGAGGAGCCCGAAAAGGATCACGGTTTTCATGTCGACCGACTTCGACTCGAACAGGTTGAACCGGTGAGCCACATGGAGTGTGCAGAATGTCACCACCAGGTGCCAACTCGTCAGTGTCGTAGCTGCAGGAGGGGGGCAAATGAAACAGTTTGATGTCAAACATCATGTTCACAGTTCACATCTTCTCGTCAATTCGGAGGGGAATTTGTATATGTTTTTTACCAAAAGGGAAGCCGAGATTGCTCATCAAAGCTTTGTTGCAGATGACAATGGAGACTGAAGAGGCAACTGATAGGAACAGAGCTCCAATGACTCCCAATGGGATCCCTCCCATTTCTCCCATTATTCTGTTTCTTCCTTCCTTCCTTCCCCTTCTGCTGCTGCTGCTGCAAGTTTCCCCTGCACATTGCATAACACCATAGTATTTGAACAGCTTGATACCAAATGAAAAATCTTTAATAAGGTAGATTGATAAATGGAAATTTTATGCATATGAACTAGCCACCAAATATGTTACACTCAAAATTTAGGCAATAAACTAAATGCATTCATTTACTAACCTGGTAAAAAAAGGGGGGAAAAATGACTGCCAGAAAAGAAAAGTTCTCCTCTTTGCTAAAGGACTCTGCCTCCTGAGAGAACTGCCAAGCTAGAGAGAGAGAATGGTGTGTTGATTTGATTTGTCTGGCTTGTATAAGAATGTAAGAGGGACAAAGGGAAAAGAGAAGGGTCTTTATATTTTTGAGGAATATTGATGAAGAGACTTTGGTTTGGTGCCTTGGTGGTGCTAAGGATTAGGTGTTTGTTGTTTGGTCCTCTGTTTTCAACATTTTATAAATGGGTTATTTGGGTGTTTCTCTTCTCTTTTCAGCAAAGAACTAACCAGTCAGTGGCTCTGTTTCTCTGCTTCCAGAAGCTATATATATTGTGTTAATGATTTCTCAAGTCAAAATATGATCCTGCCATCTTACGTTGGGCCTTAAGCATCAAGGTAGGAAGGTCAGATGGAGGTTTTCTCATGTATCTGCAAGTGCAAGCAAGAAAGTTTGCAGCTGAAATATGTTTGGTGAATGAGAGGTGGCAATATATAGAAAACTAAGGGAAGGACACCAATGAGGAGAAGCCTTTAGTTTCACTCTAGGAAAAGAATGGTCTATTTTAGCAGGGATCCACTGCTCTCCCTCACAAGTCACAACTACCCTAAATCAGGAGGAATACGGTCCAGAAACCAGGGGCTTGCCTGCTGGGTGGTTAGGATTGAGTTTGACACACTGAGTTTGTAAATTTCTCTGTGTTGGACTGAGATATTTATCTACATTTTAGCAAGTGAATCAACAACAAGTTGTCGTTGTAGTATAGTGGTAAGTATTCCCGCCTGTCACGCGGGTGACCCGGGTTCGATCCCCGGCAACGGCGCTGTTTTTGTAGTGGGTTTCAAGTTTCTCCCTCTTTTTAACAGCTTTACCTGAACATGTGAGTCTGTCTTTTACTTTCAGTTGTCAAAGCTCTAGCGCTTACATCATTGCATTGGTTGTTCCTTGAATTCCAGGTGGTTTTGTTGGCAACATCCCTGTAAGACTTTTATGCTTGCAAAGCCACAAACTTTCTTCAGTGCTAGTGGTGAGTCTGCAAGTAAAGCTCATCATCTGCTAGCATCTTTATTCTTACCGGTGTTCAAGGTGACAACTGATGCCTTGCAGCGTGGGGACTGTAATTTGTAATCCTTTTTGTTCCATTTTGCAGGTTGCGCCCATTGTGTCATTTTACAAGGTGCCACTGAAGCAAGTGTTGTTGTAACCATCCAATCCTTGAAGTCTTAAAGTTGAGAAATGTTGCAGCACGTACAGTATCTGATAAAATCAGTAAATGCAGTTTCTTTGCGATTCAATTAAACCTCGGAAACCTAGAGTGCAGTGGGATAAACTGATATGGCGGAACTCTGCCCCTCGACATTCCCTGATGGCATGGTTGATAGCTTTAGATCAAACCCTTAATAAGGTGCAGAAGTGGAGGCCTGGTATTGTTACTTGTTGTACCCTGTGTATAAGTGAGATAGAGACTAGATACCATATTTTCTTCAAATGTATGTATGTTCAACAGGATCTGCAGAGCAGCAGAGGGTTTTCGGGACAGGATGGTCTTATGTCCCTACTGATGGATTGCAAGAAGGATCAAAAGAGGCTATACTGAAGTTGGGAAGCTGTTCATGGGAAAGGTACTTATGGACACTAGTAATCCGTGAGATTTGGAGGGAAAGGTGTTGGTGGAAGGAAGCTGGATGTTGAGGAAACTGGTTGGAAAATTGAAGAGGGAAGTAGATATGAAGTGTGCTGGTACCTCTGATTTTGCAGCAGCTGTGTCTGTAAAGTAAAGCCTTCTGATTTATTAGAGCTTGTTTAGTTTTGATTGCTTAGTGGTAACTGATAATATAGAAAAAGCTTCTTCCTCATAAAAAAAATATCCAATCCACCTTTTATTCTGATATCAATTGAACATTGCTTCTCTTCTTCAACCCCCCATAAGTGGCTGGCTCATGTGGTTTAACAGAAATATGATGACTTGGATTTGCCTTTTTTGTTGCCAAAAGGTGGACACAATGAGTATACTCCTGCTTATCATACTACTCAGTACTCATGGCTCATGATATCATGTCAAAGTCCAAATTGTTACCTTTTCCCACTTTGTCACAAAGAATGAGAAGTGCCATTGATCTGCTATTCCGTCCCCATTGTCCATTGAGCCTGCTCGGAACAATCCACCTTTTGCCGGATTATTTCCGATATAATCATAAAAAGCCAATTTTTCAGGAATTTTAGACCAAGCTTGACTCAAAAGTAGTCGAGACTTTTCCTCAGTTAGGTGGTGTGTTCCTTAAGCTATGTTGAATGTGTAAAACCACTCCCTCATTGAGTAAGCAGAACTAGGATCACCATTATCTACAAATTGGTTCAGAGAATAGTGTCCACCATTGGAGATTTCAGTGAATAATCGTTTGATGTCTGCCTAGTGTTGCACTCACATCAGAAGGGAGTCAGCAGCTAGTTCTACTTCAATAAAGCTGTGCAAACATGTGACCTTTTCCATTCTCCTTGTCTGTGATTTGGATTGACCCAATTCAGCAAAGCTAATAAGCAGCTCTGGGGAAAAAAAGGGGAAACAGTACATGTAAATGCAATGTACCAAAGGGAAAGCAGCCATGAAAGTGTAATGTTTTGTTACATGGAAGATTTGGAATTGGAAGGTGGGTTCTCCTTTGACTTTAAAGCTTCCCTTTCCCCGTGACTGGCGGGAATGAATTCCCACCAAGTAAGTAGGTGAAAGAAATGGGAGATGGGTATTCAATGAATCAAATTGCTGCTGGCTAAGGCTAAGACGGAACTCCAAATTAAATAGTACTGGTTGCCAACTAGCAGAGGCAGAGCAGGTCGATTTTGACCATAAATGTTGCCTTCTTTTTCCGTTGTACATCTATTTCAACCATGGTCCATTAAACCGTACCGTACCGACGGTTCAACCACAAAATATCAGTATCGGAGGCTAAACCGATAGGTGGTATCTAACGGTACTAACGATTGAACTACGGTTAAATGACGATTTTGTCATAAAATACCCTATCGCTGACTATTCCGGTACGGTCTCCGGTACGGTTTCATGCACCATGATTTCAACTAACCTACCCTATCTACATCGGGTTAAAGAAGACACTAGATATAATGTGAATGTTGGAGGTGATGTCTACGGCTAGCTCTACGCCTACTTCGTTCAGAACGTTGGAAGCTAAAATAACGGGGTTTAATAGAAATATGGTTTTATCGTACTTATGCACTTGGATTGAAATAGTTAGGAACTTAGTTAATCTTTGACAACAAAAAATATATTACAATTTTCTAGAATTTCATAGAAAGTAGGAATAACAAGTTCGTTCATCTTTCAAATAGCTCTATCCATTCACCGCTTCATCTTTGTCCTCCTAAAAAAATCTTCTTAGCATCCTCCTCTTCATGCTCGAATTCTTCACCATGAGGTCCTACGAAATTCTAGTCCACTGATTAGCATTGAATCTACAACAACACTCGATGGGACACGAACTCCACCCTCGTCCAAACAAGGTGTTAAAGATAGATATTTCTAAAGAAAACAAGGTATAAAGATAGATTGTTGGTGAAAATGTTAACATCATAATTCTAATCAATGTATTAAATTTAGGAGTGGTGAACAGTTAGTGGTTATCGGTTATAATCGACATCAACGATTAGTGGTTAATCAATATATATATATATATATATATTGTGGTTCGGTTCCTCAATGTCTCGACTATTCACGAAATGTGAGAATTAGATGAATAATCATCTCCTTCCGGAAGAAATCGACAACATAGTTGTGGTAAAGGCCATAATGCCAGAGGAATCATTAGCGCAAGGCATAGAGGGAGAGGTCATAAGCACCTACACCGTAATATTGATTTTCGACGGAATTAAAAAGACATATATGGACTATGGTAGAATCGTAATCATAGAATACGCCCTAATCAAAATGCATACATTTCTCTCATACACTATGGGGATGGTGAGAACAGATCGATTAACTTTATTTTTGCTTGGTGGTTAACCACTAATCGACATATGGATTAGCGGTTAATCGATAAGAAAACTAATAACCGCCTACTAGTATAACCACGTATTTTTGGACTTTGCCTAAGGAGAAAGTCCCAAGATTCAAAGCCAACCAAAGTTTCAATTCTAAACATCACAATTCACAACTATTTCAACACAACCCTCCATCCAAAATTTCAAATATGTATAGGAGTCACAACCTGAAAGTTACCCCACTATCACTCCCTTTTGTCGTCGATGGAGCAAACCTCGCAAGTCACACCCTACTACCTTAGTAATTTTTGTTTCCTATGTTATTTGTGAATGATGATTTTGTGGTGCTTATGTTTGATACCTTGCTAGTTGATAATCGTCAATTGGATGAATGCGTTTGACTAATATTTGTGTCAGGATTTGTATTTGAACCAATGCTGTCAAAGCCGAGCCGGAGTATGACCCGGTAACGTGAACGGCTCGATCATTAGTGGTCCAGCCGGCATTAGACCGTTTAAAAACCGTTTGAGAACCGGTACCTAATAAACAGTCATCTATAATAGTAGACACTATGGGACATGGAAATCTCACGGCAGTAACACAAACAAACACAAACAAATTTTATGTTTCTCCTTCATACTCTCAGCTCGGCTTTAAAACAATTGAATTACTTTACAAATGAAAGAAAGAACCCTCACGCCAACTCTTCCTCTCGCCTACTTATGTTCATCTACGCATTAAGATACAAACATGGACTTTACAAATGAAAGAATGAATTGGATTACCTAGGCTAATTGGGGAAGAAGTTAATTGCCAATTGGAGAAGGGAGGGCAGCAGCAGAGGCAGCGGGTCGATGCAGGTGAGAGGCAGCAGCTGAGCAGGGGTCGATGCAGGGGAGACCTCACCGGATTCGCATCCGTTGCGCTCGCCGGCAGCAGGAGTCGACGACGATGGCGGCTTGGACGAAGGCTGCGGGGAACGGCGGCGAGTTGTGTTTTGGACGAACGGGGAAGGCGTCGAGATGCGTTTTGGGCGATGGCGTCGAGATGCGTTTTGGCGATGGCGACGGCGATGGAACGACGACGGGAACAAACGATGACAGCGCTGGACGAAGGCTGCGTTTCCTGTGAGCGACGAAGGCGCTGGACGAAGGCTGCGGAGGAGCTGCTTCTCCTTCGTCGTCTGCGGCCGAAGAGGGAACGAAATAAAATTAGGGTTACTGCCGTGAGTTCAGACAGCCTCCCCTTCATTTTAATTTTTGATTTTTAGTTTCTGTTTTTTTTAATTACATCAACCGGCCCAACCGGACGAGCGGCTCGAGCGGTTAACCGCTCCGGCCGCTCGCCGACCGCCCCAAATAACCGCTCCAGCTAAATAGCTGAGTCGAGCCGGTTTTATGGGCGGTTGGCGGTTTTGGGGCTCGACCGGCCGGCTCGGCTCGGCTTTGACAGCACTTATTTGAACAATGAGTTCACGATAGATATGGTATTGTATATTTGTATTGATGTTATTTCCTATAATTCTTATTTTATGTTAACATAGCACCCTAATTAAATTTAACATGAAAAAATTCAAAACCCATATTTCACTTTGACTGCCAGGTCAACGAAACTGCATACGTACGTATGAAAAGACAGACAAACCCTACACCCGACCCGTGAATTCAGCCGAGCCACGTGTCAGACATGCATCCATTCCCTCCCTTTTCCCTCCCGCCAATGCAAAACAAAAACCCAACCCCACCACAATTAATCCCTCACATCCTTTCCCCCCAAAATCCCTCCCTCTTCCCGTTGCTCCTCTCACTTTACTTTTCTTGGATTCACATTTCGTATACAAAAATCGAATTACCAAAACTACCCCAACTTCCCCTCAACAATTTACCATCAATTGCCACCAGCCCACCATCACCTTATCTCTGCCCTTGTTTATTTATCACTACCGGAGCTAGTTCACCAGCCAAACCGTCAAGCAAGCTCATCAACTTAAAACAATTTACGAATTTAGCTCAACAAATCACTGAACCAATCAGTCTCGCAAGTTAACAAACTCAACTTTAAATTGAACGAATCGAGTATTCTTGAACCAAACGTCGAGTCGCTGACAAGCTCGCAAGTTAACAAACTCAACTTTAAATTGAACGAATCGAGTTTGTCCTGAATCGGACGTCGAATCGCTGATGAACAGCTCGAATTGGACCTACTTACAATTATGATCCAGCAAGAACCCACCAAAGCTCTCGCCTTCAATCCAATCACATTACATTTACCTCTTCGGCCCACCAAACAATAAATTACACAATTAATAAGCAAACCCTACTTTCCCTTTCCTTCTTCCTATATAGGCTTCAATTTTTAACTTTTTACCTTTCCCTTTTTTACTAGTTTACTGAATGACACAACAACTTACACTTACCAGGAAGAGCGATAGCTATAAGCCTATAACGGTACGAAAGTAAAAACAATTATTTCCCCTTCTTTTCCTCTCTAACATTTATTGGTGGAGAAGCCCACGCGACTGTTCGCCAGGTCGAAGCTGACGCGCGTCCCTTGCTGCTGCACGTTCCCAATGATCGACAGAGACGACGTCGTAGGAGCGAACGCGAAGCAGAACGTCCCCTCCCCGTCCACCGGAATCAAGTAATTCGACGCCGGCAGCGACCACGACTTCCCGCCGCCGAAGTGGAACGCCACCGTCGGCACCTTCACGCTCGACATCCCGGACAGATCGTAGCACGTGTCGAACAGCGCGACCCCGCTCGCCGACCTCATGTGCGGCGTCAGCCGCACGAACGCGTCGCGGAGCGACGTATAGGCCTGCGTCTGGAGGCGCGTGATGGCGGTGCCGCAGTCGACGATGACGCCGCCGTTCCCGGCCTCGTCGAGCTCGAAGACCGATGCCGGGATCGAGAGCAGCTCCCCGCCGACGCTCATCCCGCTCAGCGCGACGTAGTAGAACGTGTCGACCTTCCTGCTCTTCATCAGATTCGCCGTCACGGAGTCGGCGGGGAAGGCGGAATTGAAATCCAGAGTAGAGGAAGAGGTTGAATCGCGGTTGACCAAGCAGTAGGAGAAGGAGGAGGCTCGGATCTGGGAGGTGAGGGAGAGCGGCCCGCCGCCGAGGCCGAGGAGGCCGGCGGCGCCGACGAAGAGGCCTTCGTTGTCGTGGCCGCACCCGAGGGCGATCTTCGACGCGGATCCGGATCTGCCGAGGGAGAGAGTCTCGGTGACGAAGTCGCCGAAGGTGAAGGATCCGTCGCCGTAATTGACCTGGTAGAGGCACTGGTCGGATCTGCAGCTGGAGACGTCCAAGGCGGCGCACTCAGGGGAGCTGCAGGAGAGCGGGGAGTAAGAGGAGGAGGAAGACGGGTTGAAGATCGGGTCGGTTTGCTGGTAGCAATCGGCGCACGGGTCGCACTGGAGCCAATTGACGTCGCTGCCGGTGTCGAGGACCATGTAGAAGGACCGGGTCGGGGTGCCGAGCCCGACCCGGGAGAAGTACTCCCCGCTGCCCTGGTTCGACCCGGATGTGACCGGAGTCGATAAATCGGACTGCGAGAGGAAATGGTCGGAGTCGGAATCGAGGAGGGGAGTGAGGTCGGAGTCGGAGAGGGAGAGGAGGAGCTTGGCGGAGATGGACTGGACGCGGGCGGAGTCGCGGCGGAGCCTGGCGGCGGTGAGGGATTTGTAGTCCGGGTGGCTGGATCTGAGGACGGATTGTCGGGAGAGGAGGTCGAGGGAGAATGGGGAGGAGGAGTTGAGCTGGAAGGGGGAAGAAGAAGAAGAAGAAGAAGCTTGTTCTTCGGATTCTAGCTCGGTGAAGGTGGTGGTTGATTGAGGGTCGAAGGAGAGGATGTGGTGAGCTCGGTGGAGGGAGGCGGAGACGTCGAGGGATGTTGCGGAGGGAGGTGGTAGAGTGCGGGAGAGGGACGGGGAGGTGGAAATGGCGAGGAGGATGGTGAGGAAGCAGAGGAACGTCGGTGCGGCAGCCATTGTCGCTCTGCAACTTTTTCTTCTCTTCTTTGGAGGAAGGAAAGAGTGTGGGAGTGGTGGAGGTAGTGAATAAAGGGAGTGGGAGGGGATGTGTGGTGTGTCTTTTATTCGTTGGGATTTTTTATGGAAAAAGATAGTTTGGTAAAGATGAGTAGATGCCCCTGGTAAAAATGGGGAAATGACTGCTAAAGAAAGGAAAGCTCTCTCCTCTTTACTAAATGGAGTAGAGCAGCTGCTGGTCCTGGGTTCGAATACTGGTAGGTACTTCTTCTTCTTCCTCGTGAAGTCATTATGGTGTCAGAGAAGGTTTGACTTATGTTATACGAGCTGGACAACTCAAAGTAGGTCAAAATAAGTGGAATTCTCTCTTCGAATGCACGAGACAGTAGATTTTGAATCCTACAACGAAAAGGAATGCATTTTGTGACGTATTGAGAAATGAGGAGACGGTTCGGGCAGACTCAGAAACTAGCTAGGAAGCCATAGATTTAGATGCAGATCGATAATGTGCGAGAGGCCAGAGCCAATGCCAGTTTTACTGAAAACTCACGAGTTCCAGCCGAAACTCGCAGTTACAGTTACAGAGGCTACAGAACAGTAGAAGGCCACAGGTGGGGCGAAGCAAAGTTATCAACAAAAAGTTTTCTTCTCTTAGCGTTAGTATTCTCAAGAGCATCAAACATGAGACTAGATGAAGATGTCGGCAGGCAAACCGATCGGAGTACGAATCTCTCTTCCAAAAGCGGCTTACAAGCTATTACATCAAGAGGAGCGAACCTATTACGGGTGGTGTACAATAAACAAATCGGAATGTACAAAAAAGGGGAGCTCGCGGGGGGCAGGGAGGGAGGGGGAGAAAGTGCATCTCAGACCTCTCACGCATGATGTTCCTCTGATCTCCCCTTAAAACCACAGCGAATGGCGTGGCTGCGGCTGGAGGTGAGCAAGACGCAGCAGCGAATGTAGCTTACAGTAGTTAGGCGACCGACGCACCCCCCCAGACTCGAAACGACGACACTAGCATTGGTTGGTTCAGTTTTTAACCCCCTTTAAGCGAGCCACGTATTGCTTATCAGCGGTCGCAGATCGGCTCGTGCTGCTCAAGAAGTACGCTTTATCAGCACGGAGCAGGCGTTCCTGGAACATGGACCATTCGCTCTTACACCTTGCTCTCACCCCTTCCCAAGGAGCCTTCCCATTCTCAGATTTGCCCTGAAAAAGTAAACATAGCAAAACAGCAGTTGTTGAGAAATATAAGGAGACCTGTCGAAATGTTCACTAATACATCGTGGAGATATCCAATTCTCAATCAATCTTCTTGCATTGGACTACTCGGTTTTCTGAATGTAGACGAACGGTGGTTTGACTCACCTGGCTCCCCAGAGAGGGAATTACTTGATGTACGATCCACTGTGAATCAACAACCCCGATTTTCTCATGCGCAGGCTGTCAAAGAAGACCAGATGCAGTTGTAAGTCTGATGGAAGATAACTGAGAAACAAGTACCCGAGCTGCATTCGTATATATTTTACATGATGGACAAGCCAATTGAGGCTCCCCTGCCGCTATTTGCTTTAGATAGACTAGTGAAAACAAAATAATAGACTATATTATATAGCATATGCTCATTTATGTGCATATGTGAATGCAATTACTGAAAAATGTGGAAGCAATTGTCCTGCACCTGGATTATAAATAGGTTTGAAAGATAAAAGCATGTCTTTTATCTTCTCCAACATGAGAGAGATAATGGAGCATATGGGATGTAGTATGTCAGAGCACAAATAGTACTTGGACCGACTATCCATCATCCCATAAGCAGAAGAACCCAGGGTTGGGTCGACAAACATGAGAATCAGAGGGAAAGATTGCGAGCAAAACACAAACAGATAAAAAATACCAACCTCTACACATCTTCTCAGAGCAAAATCCAATCCCCATCCATGGACCAAATCATTCTACAAAAAATCATTAAACATCATTAAGGGTTGCCCAGAAAATGAAAACCAAAAGAAAGCAGGCCACATGTAAATGGCTAAATGCTCCGTACAAGATTTATAATTTGTACAATACAGCTGAAGGATCAGGAACCTAGATACTTTGATTTCAGACGGAGCCTGTGATGGTTAGAAAGAATTATCTAACAAAATCTATAAGAATATAAATCCTCAGTAGTCTACTGATTTCATAGTAGTGACTGCAGAAAACAGGTTGAACCTTTTTCCAATTTAAGTTTTTGATTACATAATCATTTCAATGTCTGAAAGCATAACCCCAAAGAAAACCTGACATGTCTTCAATTTTACCAAGATAAATATAAATTACACTATTATGAGACGGAGCATACCTGGATCATATGCCACACACATCGCCAAGCTTTACGAGAAAACACAGGCGCCATGATTTCCACAAAGCTGAAAAAAGATAATGACACATAGTCATGCAACCAACACCGAGTGTGCCTGAAGTATGCTTGCTGTATGGTAGATCAGACATATATATACCCGCACGCACATATATACATAGAGAATGAAAGACAATGTAATAGAATGAGACAGAGGCGCTTACGCAGCACATGGAGGTAAATGTGGGTCACTGCACCAGCCTGGTTTCTCCTCTGTATCCCTGCTCACAGAGACAATCCAGAATGGAGGTGAATGAATATTAAATGGAGAGAAAAGTATCTTGGGAGCATTATAGCTATTTTCAAAGGAAGACAAAGATGTGCAAGCACAAACACACACACAGGGAGAGAGAGGGAGAGAGAGAGAGAGAGAGGGAGTACTTGTGAACTTCGCGGTCACCTCTCCGTTTTGTCATCTGCCATGTGAGACCATTATTGGGCTCAAGACCTGGTTGAGAGATCTCTAGCCCATGCTTTTTAACCAAGTGAATGTATCTGTTACAGGCAAGGATTAGACAAGCAAGCAACTCCAGAGTTTCTCAGGGAGGATGCAATAAAGAGAAACCTCACTTGTCTGCATTAAAATGTTCCACTCCAAGATCCTCATCCCATATGAAGATATATTCATATGACGCAATAACATCTGGGTGCAAAAATCTTTTAGCATACCACCTAGACAAAACATATAGACGGTCAGCCATTTTGCCAGAGCAGTTTTATGCTTCAATATGAGGATTCAACTAAATGCAAAATTCCATACCATTTCGTTTGCCTTTTCACACTGATATGAATCGCAGTTTTTGACCACTCAAACACATCCCATTCAGTAGCCCGGCCATCATAGTGGAAAAGAACAATTGTGAACTCATCTGAAAACTATAACCATGTGAAAAACGCCTCAGAATCCCCCAAATTGAAACCAGACGAAAAATAAAAGATAACACAGAATTGAATGGATTTAACACCTTTCTAACTGCTGCATCTATGTTATGCCTCTGATTCCAACCAACTGTAAAGGACACCAAGTACTTTGGCTTCTTCTTGAGATCCTGCATAGTCAAAACATCTTTGATATGTTATGCATACACGATTGGAACCAATAAATTGCATCATAAGTCATGTAGTTTCAATTCATTATCCAGACTGCAAAATATGGCATTGTGGAAAAACAAGGACAGAATTTAGGATACTAGCTAGCTAGTAGCAATTACTAGCATATGGCAGTCTTCTTCTCAATTGATAGTTTATAGACTGGATATGATATATGCCTTCTCCGGAAAATACATGCTTTGATGTCGAAGTGTAGCATACAAAGTCAAGACGGAATTGTCCCAAAAAGGCAAAGCAAGGCTATTGGAAGAGCATCAACCATGACAATAAGACAAATAGGCGAACGTGGTAGGAAAGCCAAGGCCGGGACTCATTGACAATCAAACAGATGAGAGTTTTTATTCAATCATTGCCGGATTTCCGTTTAGATATACCTCACTAGGTTCGCCCCATAATCGCCGCAAGTAAAGGTCAGTTTCTGCCTCAACGATTCCTGGAGGCAATGACTCTGCACCACGGGGATTTGTTGGAACATAAATCTGTGGCAGTGAGCAAAACAGGAACACATAATGATCAGTTTGTGTCAAATTATGCCATGTAAACCAAGACATGGAGAAAAAGATAAGCACTAAATGTACCTTGGGGATGTTGTATGACTCACGATTTTCAGGTTCGCCTGTGTTAGATCTTCTTGCATCTATTGACGCTGAATCATAACGACTTCTGAACCCAGAAGGGAAATTAATCTGCAAATTGTGAATAACCAAAGTGAATTGTTGAAAATTGCCTTACTAAAATACATGCACAACTCAGCAACGTCAAACAAACCTTAGAAAGGGAATCGGACGGAAATGAGACACCAATAAAAAATCCAAAGATAACTCCTAGAAGTGCTGTAATAATGAGCCTAGTAGTGTCGTTTGTTCTTCTAGGAAATCCACTGCAATGCAAGGAATGAAACTATCTCATGTCAGCAAACTTATTCAAAAATCACTTGTTGAAGGATTCAGCAAACTGCAGCAGATTTCACAAAAATGCAAGATATCTGAGATTTCAGTTGCTCATCCAGCAGTCAAAAGGAAATCAATCCAAATTTTGCACAGTCTGAACCTTCGGTTAGTAAGACCCATTGTCGTCCCTTTTGATTTAGACATTCAAACAAATTAGGTTGGATCACTCTGAGAAAGCAAGCACATGCACCCGTGCACTTTTTTGTATCAATTGTTGCATTCTTTAACTTCAGCACGGAACAGATGATCCGGAACCAAGCATTCGTCGCAACGGTTTTGATGCTTCAACCTTCAAGGCAAACGGAAATGTTACCATTAGAACAATCGAAGACACTGTTTCCAAACATATTCACATCCTAACTATAGATCAGCAGAGTGTTCAAAAAATAGTAATCCACCAATAGAACATTCAAAGTTATTCTGAACCCTCCAATTGGGAGTTCATAATTATAAATTCGCCTTCCAGAAGTCCGTTCGTAACTAGAAAACAAACTTCAAAATGAATGCAAATCTCGTTGTCATATGTCAAAGTAAGCGGTGACAGTTCCAATGCTTCTGAAAGGCTAAACCGTACGGTTGAAGTTAATAACTCCCACAACTTGAAATCGCTTTAGCTTCATGGTGAAGTCTAGTTGGTAGTGCGTCCACCCTTGATCGCTCAACCAACTCGGAAGGAAGAGAAAAACAAGAAACGCCATGGTTTGCCGCACCTCCGGCTCTAAGCAACAGTACGAAGCAAAAAAACCAGCAAGCTATTACACTCCAGAACAAGCCGAATTGGGCCGTGGACTACTCAGTTCAGTACCACAGATTCCGAACTGCTGCAGTAGCTATCTCTGATCTATGCTACACAGTGCAAGTTGGAAGAAAAGGAAACGAAACGAAAAGAAAGCAGAAACAAAGCGAACAAACGCGTAAACGAGCCATTTGCCGGCCAATTGAAATCGAGAGCGGAAACGAATCGCCCCCAGTCGAACTCAAAATTCAGATGCAGAAACTTAGAGATTACTAAATGCGGAAGGCGGAACTGAAAAACAGCAGCGGAACTAAACCGAATCTGCAGACAGAGCGCAGTCGAAGAAGAGAGGGAAACCGAACTTCCACCGACGGAGCAGGAAGATCTCCACCGATTCGATTCGAAAGGACGAGAGCAGATTGAAAGGAAGTCGGATCAGAATACTTACGCCGGCGAGCGGGCTGAGATCGGAGCAGATGAGACAGCGGAGCGGAGCGGCGCGATGAAGAGAAGAAGAACAAAATAGGGAGCAGCGTGAAGTTAAGATGGGGAAGAGAGATTTGCAGAGAGAAGCTGACACCAGCGCCGGCTTCCTCCTCTCCTGCTTTGCTCAAAAAGATTGCAAATTACAAAATGAAAGAGAAAAATACAAATACGAGAATTTTTTAAACAAAGAAAAGCGAAAAATTGAAGAAAATGCTACGTGTCGGTCGCTGCATATGACAGCGACACTTTATTTTGGAAAGGATCAATGAAAACAAGGATTTATGAATTAATTAAAGTCTTGATTATCTTTCTGAAAGAGGAATCAAAGTCTTAATTATCAGCTGATAAAGGGATCAGTAAGGTCCAAATAATGGTTTAGCTGTTTTGATTTCCGCTCATATGGGGGAATAAAATAAAATCGAGAGAATTTGAGATATGAAATAAAACGAAAGTAAATTGGGAGTTGGAAACTGAAAATAACCTTAATGGATATTGGATACGATTCATAAGAAACTAAGAGTAAAATTAACTTTTTGTTGAATCTTTGTCCACTAAAAACCAACTTAAGCATTAACCAACTTTCAAAACAATTTTTTTATTGATATCATATGGCAAAACGATCTTGCTTGGGTTAAGTTATTAGGTTATTACGAAATACTATCCTCTTGCCTACAAGCTAAGATTTACCTCTGAGATATGATCCGGGAATTATAATTTGTTAGACAAAAAAATACTTAATCGGATTTAATTTGGTTAAAGCGATTGAATCAATGATCACAAATCATGACATGCGGAGTCCTCAGGAGTTGTGGATCAAGATAAGCAGTTAGTTAGTATCATATTGTGTGGTTACATAACTCACCCCGTCATCCATTCAAATTTCAATGCACCATATGTTCATTTAGTGCATTTAGTCCATTTTCAAGGTCGACTCACTCTTCTCTCATAAAATATTGTTTTCACACATTGTGATTGTATTAGGTCCCGTTTCAATGTCAACTCTTCTCTTGTAAAGTGATTGGGCCACAAACTCATTTTTGTCAAGTTTGAAACAATAAATGTATTTATACATTAATGAAATCTAACTAAATTGGTCAATTTTATTAAAAGCCTAAAATATGAGAGTAATTTATATTCAGTATCCATCTTTTCTCCTATGAACATACGAACAAAGCAGTATTCTCGACTTAGGGTGACTCCCTTTTCTTTAGTAAGATGAGACCACCTCCAGCCTGGTCGCCCTACCCTTCGAGAATTATTGCCAATGTATTAAGAATGACAAGAAGTTCCTTATATTAAAAGAAATTGATGAATTAGCTCGTCCTATGATAAAAATGTGAATTTATTATATTAATTAGTCTATTTGCTTCTAAAACTTATATTGATTTATCGTTTGCAACTGCAAATGTTGAAAGAGATTTTTAGCGTTGGTCTACATAGTAAACAAGTTTCGGAATAAAAAATCATTGTCTAGAGATATACTGAAAGATATTTGTTTGATCTTATCGACGCTAAATGTATTTTACAATTTTTTCAGAAGCAAATAAACTAATAACTTGCCTTCTTGTTCTACTATTGGAGGATTGTAGGCAGACCAATTAATAGCAAACAATTAATGTCATCAATCCATAACTTAATTCGACTTTGAGGGAGATTAGAGAGAATCCAAGTGGTGGATCCGTCGTTAGATACACAATCTCTAGTGTTATTAAAAGACTGCATTGATCTTTTGATCCCAGTAAATGAACACACACTCTACAAGATAACAAGTCAAGAGGTAATTAAAAGACTGGTATGCCAATGACAGAAGACAAATGACATGAACAAAAGAGTAACTTAGGGCATTGGCATGTCTTCCTTCAAAGATGCCACAAAAGATTTTGTGTTTAGCTTACAATTTTGAGAGATACAAAGAGATTGCAGAAATTTAGTATGTTTATCAGAAGACATTATGAAAATTGCATCTAATCTGTAAAATAAGATAATGGTTTGAGCACTCCATTTTTAATAAAAGATTAAGATCGAAGAAACTAAAGAAAGGAAAAAAGTGAGGTGTTAAGGTGACGTGTACTACCGCATGTATGAATACTAGAACTATTCGATAATATTATACCAATACCTATATCATAAAGGCATCGTAGTAGTTCTCGAGAGTAAACTAGAAATATCAAATGGGGGCAACAAGCATCCCTCTCAGTTGGGTTAATATGATCTCTGAAGCTCAAAACGGAACATTTTACAATTTTCCAACAAAAGAAAAAAAGGAGCTGCTGGAAACCACCTTGCCTAGTCATATTTTTTTAAGGGTTCTCTTGTTACAAATTCTAGTGTTGATTGGCTTTCACTTCATCGAGAGATATCGCATTTCGTAGAATGACCCAACTCCAATCGCTCAATCTCCCAGCTTAGCTTCGATGCAACTTTCTCATGCCTTGGCAAGTATTCCTGCAAAACAAAACACAAAAACCCCACTTATAATGATGATCAAATTCTCTATGGCGTTATTTTTTTTCTCTTTCAAATTTAGTTTTTTTTTTAAACTCGTCATATCACACGGGCTGCAATCTCAATCTGCCTGTTGGATGAACACATTCACTAATGTAGTGTGTGCACTCAACGGCCAAAGAAGATTGGATCGTGCGATCAAACAGTATCAGCCTGCGTCGACGCCTACCCTTACCAGTATATTAATCAAATTCGTGAGAAACCCATTGATAATATATTATGTTAACATCTCGGTGACCCATTATGAACAAATACGATGGTGGCAGGTGATTTGGACTATAAATTCACTTGAATTGGGAATTGGAATGACCTAGCTAGTATGAATTATAAATTACCTCCATTTTCTTGACTAAATCTTTGGCGTTCGGTGCCGATACAATTATATGGCGTGCATTTGGGCTGATGAAACCTTCCTCCACAGCTTCGTCGATGAATGACAACAGTGAATTGTAATACCCATCCACGTTCAATAATCCCACCTTCATATCAATCATATTAACAATGAGACTTGCAAAAAAAAAAAAAAAAGATTTAGCTGAGTTTTTTGTTATTGTTTAAAGAATATTTACCGGCTTGTCATGGATCCCTAGCTGGGCCCAAGTTATGACTTCAAGAAGCTCTTCCAGTGTCCCATAGCCACCTGCAACCCAAATCCAATTTTAGTTGTTGAACACTAGAATGGTAGTTGTCCAAGTATGGGCTGGGCCTTCAAGAAATATGGGCTGGGCCTTCAGCTACACCCTTTTGGGCCTTCATTCTGTTGCCCAAGTATTGGTTTTTGGATGTGATACTATTTTGGATACTGTATTTTGACAATAGTATTACAACAATATTGTTATCGTCTAAACCATAATCGACCAAGAAAATGTCATTTTGCTAAATGTTCTGCAATCTCCTATACGAATTTACAGTTCAGGGTTTTCTTACCGGTGTTAATCAACAACTAAACACCAACCGAAAACATCGTTAAAGCACCAACCGAAAGCATATAATTGAAACACCACAAAGGTAGAATCAGTAGAAATTATGTGAAAAGGAAAGAAAAGCCAAAGGATGTGGGAAAGGGAGTGTGGAATTGACTGGACAAAAGGTTGAACAGTACAACTTTTTATTTTTATTTTTACCGAAAGTGAATTTGTTGTCACCAATTTGTAAACTTTGTAGGGACCTTTCTTGGTCGTTTGTGTTTTGTTGTTTTGTTTTGGTCGGGTGTGCTGCCTGCTATTGCTACCACTAATAATAACACTCGAACTCAACACTCTTCACCACAAATATAATTGCTTGCTGCTGCCTTCTGCGGCTGCTGTTGGCAGAGCTAGAGCACATTTGCCGGTTGACTCGTTTTGATCTCGATTTTTTGAGATATACGAGTCATATAAACTTATGGGTCGATCCGTTACAAGGTTATTGGCTTGGAGGTTACAACTTACACGACGTCATTTTTTTATTTGCTTTGCGAAATGCGCTTTTTTCCCCCTATTGTCCTCTACGCCTAACGCTATTCTAAGTTGAACATTTGAATATTGATATAATGTTGGATTCAAGTACGATCCGTTATTTTGGTGTGATGTTATATTTATTCGTGTGTTAGATGAAGATTTGATATAATTTATAGACGTATGAACTATATAATGACATTTTTCATATATCCGGACTAAAGTGGTAGGACCATTAACCCTCAACCCGCTTGCTCGACGGTGCGAATAAGCTAAACCGTGCCCAGAAGAGAAGATAGGATTGACTATTGAGGTTTTGGGATAAGGAAGAAGGAGACGAACCAGGTAAAGCAATGAAGGCATCAGAATGGCGAGCCATCTCTGCCTTCCTCTGGTGCATGTCTGCAACTGCTTTCACTTCTCCTACTGTCACTCCAGTAATCTACAGAAAAGGTAGAGACTTTTAATCATTGAAATGTGGAAATCCTGTTGGACTAATGGGAAACCTTCAAAATAATTTGAGTGTAAGTGGTTTACCTCTTGGGGCATTAATGTCTTGGGAATAACCCTGTTTGGAGCAAACAGTAGCCATAAATAATCAGCTAAAACAGAGCAAACCAAAGAGTGAAACAGAGTAGGGTTGATCGATCATGGTTTTCAGTTTCGTCTTACCCGATGACATGGCGGCCACCTTCGTAAACGGCTTGAGAAATGAGACCCATCAGGCCAATACTCCCTCCTCCGTACACCAGATCAATATTCCTCGTCACCTTCACAATCCCCTCTCACGGTTTAAGAAGGCGAATACAGAGGGGGGAACAGAGAGCAAAAAACAGAGGAGAAACAGAGTGCGTGTGTGTGTTGCTGCTTACCAGTTCTCGCCCGAGCTCGATGGCAGCATCTTTGTAGCTGGTCTTCTTCCCAGGGCTGCTCCCGCAGAAAACACAGACCCTCTTGAATTTGGACTCCATTGTTTCCATCTCCATCCCCATCTCTCTAAACCTTGATGAAAAATTTGTTCTTTTTTTTTCTTTAGTAACCTCCTGCTCTGTTTTTTTCCTTCCTCTGTTTCTCGTCAAAAAGTGACCCCTCGCAAGGAAAACAGAGAGTGAGAGGGAAGTTAGCTATAGGAGAGTGAAGGGGATGAATCTGAGTGGGAAGTGCAAGTGGTGGGTGGGGGATTTTCTGCAAATATATAACGGTGGAGCAGAGGAAGGAAGGAAAGGGGCCGCTTGGGATTAGCAATTACTGATGTTTTACTCATCCACAAACAACTTCACATACCCACGCGTAGGAGATTTAACAATTAAAATGGGACACGAAAAGGAAAGAAATTTTTTTCACTTCCTTCTTGTCGTTTTCAGGCGTGGTGACTCTGTTTTTTACTTTTTTCTCTTTTTACCCCATCTCTTAGTAAATGGTATAATTAGCATCTCCCAACAATTTGAATTATTGGGATAGATTTGTTTACGACATTGTATCAAAGTTTTCGATGATGGAAATGTTTTGTGTTCGAATCTACACAATCTCATTTGTAAAGCACATGGTAAGAGAGGAAACCGATTTATTAGCACCTCCTACCATTGGGATTACCCCTTTTGGTCTCACTCTCGATTTTCGCTCCTGCTCTTAGCCTCGTTCCCTCGGCAGGGGGTTTTGGTAGCATATAGAGTGTGCAACGGTTCGGTCTAGTTTGAACTGGACCAAACTCACGAGAACCACGATCCATTAGTGAAAAGACATTGTAAGATCAAGGATCGAACCAACAGTGCATTCAGTCTGGTTTGGTCCGGTCCTGCTGTCAGTTCAATCAGTTTTCTTCAATATTTATAAAATTCACGAGTTCAAAGGTTGAACCCCGTTATATTCGCTTCAATATAATCTAGTCCGAACATCAATTTGCTCCGGTACGATCCGATACTAACCAGCCCGTTGCACAACCCTGTTAGCTATCATCTGGCTCTATTGGATGGAGAGTTTTATGATTAGTTTAAGTGGAACTCGATCGGCCAAATGGGAATGGCACCATCCGGTAATGTGCCCTCAACCACCGTCACATTTGACATGCCTTGTTATCTGCAGAGGAAACATTCATTTCATATTTTACTTTCCTACTAATTATATTATTATGGAATTCCGAATTCCAAAAGGAGATGATAGAACTTCTAGTTGCCTTGCCTCCACTCCATTATTTCACTTTCTTTCACTTTCCATCTCCTTATCTTCTCTCAGGAACCAAACACTATGAAACTTGCAGTCCCCACTCTGTTCTCTGCCCTTTCCTGCACCCCATCCCTCCCAAATTCATTTATCTTATTGGCTTATATCTTCCCAGCAATCAAATTCGATGTCAACGGGGCTTCGTCCCAAACAGTCTTGTACTTCCGGGAACACCAACGGGCCTCGCTTGAATTCAAATCTAGGATCTACAACTCCCAAACCTTCACTGTTGCGGCAACTTTACCGTAAGGCTATCTTACCTTTTTGGTATTCCATCGCTCTTTGAGTGAGAGATGTTGGTGTTACATATTCATATTTATGGTGAAAATAACTATGTTTTTTTAAATGACGAGTCGATCCCAATAATTGGGATTGTTGGGAGATTCAATTATATATCGTATATCCGTTACCAAAATACCTTCTCAAACAAAAGCATCAAATATAAATTTGAAATCAACACATGTTTGAATACCATGCGCTTAACAAATGGACTCGTCGGGATTTGAACAAAAGACATTTGGGTAACAGAAGACTCTGGTATCATGTAAAGAACCAGTCGAGTTATTAGGAGATGTTCAATTATCGATCATATATCAGTTATTGACACTTTGCTGCATAAAACCTTACGAGGGGTTTCATTTCATCACACTTTCAGAGAACTATCATTCCGAATACGAGTTTAACCTACCGATGATTTGCGTAATATATTTTTTCTAGATCTCTCCGAATCTTTGCTTGATTAACGATACACAGAAACACATAGTAAGACGGGAACCCATACTAAATCTCCGATCAAACTTGCTCGATTAATGCTAACGCAAAAAACACAGCCCGACGAAATCTAATACTGACTTAAGTCCCGGATCCGACCCGTACATTGTGACAAGTGATTGCCACACCTATAATGTACGACAGAAGCTGACCAAAGGGTGCATGAATGCATGGCCTTATGTCTGGATGCAGAGAGCATAGCATCCAAAGTCCAAACCAGTAAACACCAAGTTATGGGTTGACATAAACTGCAGAAAATTGGCTCATCTCTTCCTGTCCAAACGTGCCTTTCATTTGGATTCTAGTTTTGGGAAACATGCATGTCTTGCTGTTGAGGGAATTGGTAAAGAAACAGAATGGGTTGGTACGTATACCTCCATATGGCTACTGCAGTTCTTGTCTCCGTTTGTGATAGGCCAAGCCCACGGCAGAATAATAAATTTTACACAAGGAAAATACACTTAATATATCCAATTAGACAATTAATTACGAACTGATCACCTATTTGATTGAAAAAGGGAGTAGATTATCTTGTTGTTTTTATTATTGGTTCCGGTAATAATAGTGGGGTGTCTCAATTTACATAAAAAATTAACATCTTAAACCCAACAAAAGATTGTTTCTTGTAACGGATAACAAGTTCTTTAATAAATGTAGGGTTATGAGTTCAAATTAGTAAAATTTGTCAAGAACCAGTTGCTCTCAATAACTCGAATTTTTGGGAGAAGGTTATGCTGGATCTTATAACACTCTCTAACACGCCCCCTCAAACGAAAGCCAACCCACGGGCTTGAAGATTGCACAGGCCCACCATACCATGTGCTTGAAAGACAACAATTAATATTGGGGGTCGTGGAGATTCGAACACATGACCTTTCGGTTCTAGGCTCTGATACCATGTCAAGAACCTGTTGCTCCCAATAACTCGAGTTTTTGGGAGAAGGTTATGCTGGATCTTATACCACTCTCTAACAAAATTCACCTATTTTGCTCTTTTTTTTTCAAACTCGAAACAATCAAAACAATATTATTCAAAAGTCAATAAGATTTTCTCTAAATTTTAGCAGCATCCCGAAACATCCTAAAAATCCCTGGCTATGTTACTTTGCCAAGCTATACCAGTCCAACACATGCATCATCAAAGTTGAAGTGATTAATTAACTTTGTTTAATGTAAGGCGCATTGATCAGTGTCAACCCAAATCATCACTAACTGGCTAAACTTAATCATCAGTAGCACTTATGATCATTTGACAATTTCTGTCACACTTTTGCTTGCTTTTGACTCGTGTTTAGTATTAAAAAAAATGGGTAAGCTCATGTTGATTTGGTGGTTAACTTAAAATAAAAGTTACTTGGAGTATGATGGCCAGTGTTGTTGATGGGATTGACCAAATTAGTGTTTTGTGTGGCCTATAACAAGCTTGCCTCTTCCAGTCCTAGATTAATCTCTTTCAATGAATGTTTTAGAAAGCATACTCTATCGTTCGGTCAGATCGGTAATGTCAGGTATGCGACCCAAAATGATAGGCTATTTTAACGGGTATAAAACAGATGATGAACTACAATTTTAGTACAAAATATAATATCACCGAAATTTTTCGGTACAACCTTTGATACGTTTTCACAATCATCGATTTTAATAGAAGATGACCACGACGGTAGAAATTTGTGATTGTATTTTATATGACGCCATTAGTGGTTAACTCTAAAAGTAAAAGTTGCTTGGAGATTGATGGACAACTTTGATCGATTGATACGGTTCGCCAAATTAGTGACAATATGTAATGTGCTTTAATTTGTGTGACTTGTAACGGCCTTGCCTCGTTCGTTCCTAAGTTGCCATGCTTCAACCGAAGATAGCTGCACCCATAGGTGGTTTGTATTTTATATGACAGAAGAAGGTCGACCGAAACACCAACTGAGAATTTCGAGGCATAACTTTCGATTGACTTTGTAGGCAGGTTAATGATCAAATCCTTTCGGTTGATCAACTGTTGAGATCTATACATTCGGTTAACTTCAAAGAACTTTTAACTAATTAAGTTTGACTGTCTTTGTCATCATATGCTAAGAAGCCTACAGGTTAGAACAAACTCAAAGGTGGGTACTTGAGCTATTGTATACCTTACTTTGGGAGCATGGTGGTTGAATTAGTGATGTCTTTGCTTTCTCTGTTTGGCCACGTAGGACTGGGCCAAGAGTTAGAGGCGGACAAAAACATGTGCCATTTAGGAGTGGTCATTACTGGGTTGTAAGTGGGCTTGCTAGTGGAACTCTTCCAATGCAGGAAACTGAAACTGAAACTTTGAGTGCCTTTTCCAGGGAGAGCGACCTATGAAATTGCGACAAACAAACCCATCTCACTCTTTGATAACACTCTGTTTTTGTACAAACACAGATTGACCCGATGCAGCAAAGCTCACTCAATTCACCATCCAAAGAGCGATAATGCATATAGGATCACTCGAAATGGGGGGGTTTTCCAGGCATTGTATGAGACTTTTTCTTTGCATCAATTATGCACGTACTTAGATCCTTGTCATAATTTTTACTTCGGTTCGAACATAACACAAAAGCTGGTTCTGTAAAGAAGTGGTTAAATATCATATATGGGCCTCTCCTAACAACTCGAGTTATTGGGACCAGTTGATTTATGACATGATATCAGAGTCTGGTTTGTCCTTGAGGTCACGTGTTCAAGTCCTCGCGACCCCGAATATTAACCGTTGTCTTCAAGCACATGGTATGATGGGCATGTGCGAACTTTGTGCAAACTTCAAGTCCATGAGTCGACTTTCGTTTGAGGGGGCGTGTAAGGAAGTGGTTAACTACCATACATGAGGCTCTCCCAACAACTAGAGTTATTGGGACCAGTTGGTTTATGACACAAACGGATAAGATATTGGGCCGATACATTAATGAATTTAATTTTCACCATTATCATTCAGGTGAGAATTTATTGGTGGCGTTTACCTGCTCTTTCGAGTTTGTTGAATATGCATGAACATGTCAAGATAACCTTGAACACGTACATCTAGGATCCCTCGTACGAATGAAAACAAGCGGCTTGAATTGTTTGAAGTATCTCAAGAGCACCTCGCCCTAACAACTCCAATTTGTTAGGGGAAAAAGTTGAACCGTTTGTGGATCTTTATGTCAAACATTTTGTTCTGTCTAGCCATGCATCATTACCCTACATAACTAAACTTTGTACATAAGAATGTGTGAAATAAATCATTGAAACCCATATCAAAACCAACTTATGGTAACTTTCGGAATTTATTTGGAGAAGTCTAGCTATGCATCATTACCATACATAACTTAAAAATGCGATTGCAACATTGCGTGCGAGAGGCAGAGGTATAGACAGAAAGGTGCCAAA